TTGTAAGTCTCCCACGAATTGTAAATTACACAGGGGTCACTTAAAAATTAGGGATTGATGGTGAAAACGAGCATTATACTTTTGTAAATAAGATTACTGAATGCTAGCTAAAAATAAGACGGAAAAACTTATTTCACAAGCCTTGTGAAATAAGTTTTTCCGTGCCTTGTGAAATACACAAATATTGAGGTATTAATTTTATTGTAAGTCTCCCACGAATTGTAAATGAGACTCGATTTAATCTTGATCAGTTTGGAATAAACTTCGGAATTAGACTGCATAATGAAATAGCCAAGTTTCGGCCCAAGTCAAAGTAATTAATTTCTTTAAGGTTGTTTATAAAAGTCATTAGAAATTCCAATTCATTGATAAATACAGTCTTACACCATTGTCTTTGAATAAAGTTTTTTAAATATATTATTTGGTATAAAATACACATACCTACTTATTTTGAATCTGTGTCTACTTCTTGTCTAGGAAATACAAACTTGTTAAAAAATACAATATATTTTTTTAACGACCTACTTAATAACTTATAGGTTAGTTTCATTTAAGTTACGAGTACTCTGTTTATTTGTGTTTATATTAGGCCTGCATAGCTGAACGAATTGTGATTCAATCTCTAGCTAATCGTACCTATTATACTCGTATTCACTGCCTGGCCACCCTGTATAACATTTTACACAAAAATTCGTCTGATAGCCGTTAAGTATCTAAATACTTATGTCTCGTGAGATAAATGCATTTTCTTTCTTCACGCTCCTATACACCATTACTTAAGTGTTCAAGTCTCAAGTCAACTAATAAACTTCCCGCCCGCCTTAATGCCCGGTTCCGCTCCAGTCCCGGCCGGAGTCCGGGATGGCTCACGGGATTAGCCGCGTCGCGGGATTACAGTACCGGCTCTAGCTGACAGATGGACTTTCCAGCTTCACTATTTTTCATTCGAAAGTTTTACTTAACAACATTAATTACTGAACTCATCTTGATAAGCGATTTCTACTAACTTTAAACATGAAAACTCGTTTATATTGGTATGTTTTAATGTTTTACAGACCCGGTTCAGGCTCACTAATGGACTTTTCAGTTTCAGCCAGTTAGGTACTGGTTTCAGTTTATGAAAATGTTTAGAACTGCTGCAAATACCGACCCCTAAGTCGCCTGACCAAATTTTCTCCCCTCAAATCCCTAATGCAGTGCGAAAAGAGCTCTCCATATTTATGTCACCCTGGTACTTCGAATGCGAATAATTTGCGCATTTCCCCAAACCGGCACACGTTTTGTGAAGTTAAAACGGCCTAAATAAAAATTTATACTGCATAATTATTTTCTCTGAGTGCTTTGTGTCCTTTTTTGTTAGAGAGAAAGTGTAATCATCTCATCTTTCGGTGATACGCAATTTGCGTAAAAGGCAGTGTTTCGGGTAACGGCTCGGGGTTACCCAGAAATTGTGTGAATGCTCATTGTCTCGAACAGTCTCTATTATACTCGGTAAATAGACTTTGTTTCGTTTACAGCCATATAACTTGTTGTTCCTAAGTGGCTTACCTGATTGCCTTTGGTTACTTTTTTCTAAAGGATTTTATTTAAACAGGTACATATCTGCATTTGCGATAATATAATGATGTTTTTGATTAAAAACAGAGTTACTAATGAAGCATCCTAGGATAATAAACACAATCAATATTCAATTCAACCTAAAATTCAGCTGGATAATTGATTTTGGATCCAGGAAGTAGTTTCGCATACTACCTGCCTAACGGAGCGTACAAAATGGCCGTAAATTTTGAGGCCTGTTGGCCTGTCAACGGCTTCGGATGTACCAGGAACGCAGCCCTTTCATTCTGTGGACATCCCACTCTACCCCAAAGGGGCGTCACCACAACAATGGCAAACTAGTGTAAAGTTTAACCTCTTGTGTGGTTATGTCGTCCTGGTGTTTGATGAGAAATTAAGATGGGCGGGTGAGCATTTTCTTTCTTATTTACTTTACATCTACAATAAAAATTCTTAAACTCGCACTTGAGATAAGAAAGAAGGTAAATAGCGAACTAGTTAAATTTTTTTTGTAAATTTTCAACTATTTATGACACAATCATCATCTTTTGAATGGCAGTAAGTTTTTTAAAGCTGCAAATATCAACGTGTACGCTCAGCCAAGTTTTTACTTTATGAGATGTAAAAATATTCCAAAGATTCAAATGTTATCAGGTCCTTAAAACACCCCAACCTTGCCCCGACTTCAACTTCGGAACTATTCAAAGTGCGCTTAGTCATCGTTATGTTCCACTCAGCGACTCAAAAACTTCCGGAAAACTTTCCGGGGATCATTTTTCGCTGTCGTCTTCGTGTACTCCGGGCAGCACCTATGAAATTTAGAAAGAAAAAGATTTTCTTTTAGACCCTAATCGGACAGCTGCAGCTTAATAGTAGACTTTATTAACTATAATATAAAAATGAATCGCAAAATGTGTTGGTAAGCGCATAACTTAAAAACTTTTGGACCAATTTTACCAATTCTTTTTTAAATGTTTGTTGAAGTCCAAGGATGGTTTTTACGGCTAGAAAAAATAGAATAATTTCCGGGAAAATCCCGGGTGAAGCCGCGGACGGAAAGCTAGTTAAGTAATAAATATTAATCTGCCAGTTTGTTACGTTTTCTCACCTTAATCGCTGAACCAATTTGAGTTAGAATTTCGATATACTTAAGGATAATTTGGGGCTAGGAGCTACTCGTACTTAGGTATACGAGATCGCGTGCGCCGCCGATAATTAAACCCATAATTAACGTACAAGCTTACCATAGCTTTTACCTATTGCATAATCAGTATACAGACGACAGTACATCAAGCTGAACCCTGCGGCATCTTATTGTAAGATTACTATACTTATTATGTGCAAAAATACAATTTTTGTATTTACAATACGCAATGACAGTGACGAGTATCTGATACTGTTATTTTGGAACTAGTATATTACCTGTGACTTTATTCCTTTGCCTGTGAATTATTACATTTAAAAAGGTAGCACAGATTCACTTGCCATAGTTGCCATCGAGCTGCTGAGCGGAACGGACATTATTGTAATAATCGTGCGAAGACGGAAATAAATCCAAGAAAATCACACCAGTCGTCGTTTCATTTCTGAGTTTGAGATCCAATCTTTCATTATACTGATGAAATAAGAGCGGTTTTGCAACCAAAAATTACAGTCTTGTTGATGTACTGTTGACTGTACAAGAACGTATTGTAGACCGCCTGTAAGGTAGCCTTATTATTCTTACAGCCGGTGGATCGACGATCTGGTAAAAGTTTCGAGAAGTGTGCAGAGCAGGATCGGTATACTGTTACCGGAAAATATATATTTTTTCGATAAACAAACAATAATAAAACAATTTCCAGGTACCTGGAAGCCACCATGCTATTGATATCATTTCGTCAGAATCCATTATCTCGCATCAATGACAGGCGGATCGCTTCGTTGGTAATTAATTCGGGGCGATAATTAGCCGCGGGCATCGAACCAAGCATGTTCGATGCCCGCGGCTTCTTGTTATGCGATGAAACTTGAGAGAGATATCAATTTAACTGTCACATGTAATGTATGAGAGCTTAATGTCATTATGATGACGATTCAATAAAAGAAAAAAACTTATAGTCGAACTAGCGGCCGCACGCAGCTTCGTACGCGTGAATCCCGTTTTACCCCCTTAGGGGTGGAGTTTTGTAAAATCCTTAGCGGATGCCTATTTCATAACATCTACCTGCATGTCAAATTTCAGCCCGATCCGTCCAGCGGTTTGGGCTTTGCGTTGATAGATCACTATGTCAGTCAGTCAGTCAGTCAACCTTTGAGTTATATATTTAGATTTAGATTAGATTGAGAACCTCCTCCTTTTTAAGTCGGTTAAGCACCTGGATGCGGGCAGCGCAGGACCATTCGTTGTGGAAATCCTTGAGGTAGGCCTTTGTTCAACTGTGGACGTCATGTGGCTAAAACGAACACAACCAACAGCAATTTTTTTTATGCAAGACAAGACAGGTATTTGACCACAATTGCACCTGGTGTTAAGTGAGATGCAGTCTAGGATGGTACATTCTGCCCTGCAAGTGCCTATTCACTCTCGCCTTGAAAAGGCCCGGATTATAGTGTTATCTATATTGTATGTATGTTTCTATCAAAATTGTCCTGTATTTGACTTTGTGAACATTTAAATTCTTCGTGCTTACTTTCTTTAAACAAATAAAGTTACAACAATAATTTAATTAAACATACAAAACAAACTTATTAATTCAAGAAAAACAATCAGGGTAGGGTTTACAACGTAATTGGTTTCCACTTTAATTAAATCATCGGACTTCATAGTTTTATCGGGCTTCGGATCTTAATGAGTTTGTTTTAATAATTAATTGGTTCAATTGTTTTGGAAGTCTTATATCCAGTCTACTTAAAGTTGTCTGAATGATTTTTAAGAGTAAAAGGAAAAAGCTAAGAAAAACAAATGATCGGACGAATTTTTTTTTTAATAATGCGGTTCAACTAGACGACGTCCATTACTGGACAATCCCGCAAGGATCTAAATTTTCCCCAAAAAACATAAACCTCCTTCTGGCGCAGTCGGGTAAAAAGAGGGCTTTTTGGTTAAAACGAACAAACAAGAATGTATAGGTTACAGTGTAATGTAAAATTTTAAACATTATCTAAGGTTAATTTTATCGACAACAACACATCAAGTTACTCACTGTGCCTTCTTATGTAGATATTTTACAACTAAATTAAATTATGGGGTCGGGTGTACAAGACTTTTTTTTTCATTATTATCATCATCATCATTTCAGCCACTACTCATTGCTGAACATAGGCCTCTCCCAATGATTTCCACATCGCCCGGTTGGTAGCGGCTTGCATCTATCGCCTTCCTGCTACCTTTATGAGGTCGTCGGTCCACGACACGTCTTCCTAGGGATTATTTTCACTGAACACATGTTATTCTTGTTGCAGACCTCCTGATCGAGATGCTGGGAGTGCTGGCCAGCTACAGCGTCACGGTCAAGGAGCTGAAGCAGCTGTTCAGCGCCATGAAGGCCGTCAACGGGAAATGGGTGAGCTACTCCTTCTACTAAACCCTTTCTACGGGGTCTCACGCAGAATGTGCACTTCGCAAAATGAGCACGGCGCAATATACGCACTTTTCTATACAAATCTAAGGGCTGAAAAGTTTGTTTCTATAATATTGGTATTAAGAAGTGCGCATTTTTCGAAGTGAACATTTTGCGTCAGACCCCTTCTATTTACATCTTTAGGCAACAGTTAACTTTCCCCCGGGACAAACTTGACCTTCACTGGTTGAGTGTTGGTGGTCAAGCTATAGATCCTGGCTACACTGGAGTCGCAGTGGTGGGAACGTGAGGTGAATTAGTTCCGTTACTTCTGTAGTGAGGTGGCAACTAAAAACAATAGGTTTATCTAAATTTGACATGGTAATAAAGACATAAGTAATCGTTATATTTCAACGCTGAATCTTTAGTTTCTTTTTTGTAACTAAGATCTTATTTAAGAGCTTAAATCTTCAGCAATAAAGAACACGTAGTAACGAAAAGAAATCCCAGAAAAACTTCGGCAAGAGACGTCTCATTAGGTAATTAACCCTTAACCACTGACGTGTCATTTTGTTACACTAACACTGACGTACGTACGGCATACGTACGGAACTTTGAAGACCTCCTGATGTATCAAAAGAGAGTAACTTTGGTGAAATTTGAATTAAAATTATTTCCACATATTTATATTAAACAGAGATAGAAAAAAAAAACATAGTAACATTAATAGAATAGTATGATATTGGTGAAATCCTCAAGATGTAATAAAAGTTAGACAGGCATTTTTTAAAAATCAACACAAAAATATTCGATAACACTAGGAACTTCTATTTTGGCCATATTAAAGATTAATAACAGTTTTAATCAGGAAAAAATCACAATAGCAATAATTCACAAATTAAGTCACTTTTTAATACAGTTCATTTAGGAAGGCTATTTTCTATAGTCTTTCTTTGTTTGATGACCTGGTCACCAGTTTGCCGTGCTTCAAACTAGCAAGGAAATTTGAAAATATGGTATAAAATCTTCAAAAGTAGTCAAATCCAAAGCCACGAACTAAAGCTCCTTCACCATCATGATGATTGTCTTCCAAAACCGCAACTAATATAAAAATTTTCATCCACCGGATTTTTTGCTAATTTCTTCGTCATTTGTAATAATTTTTGACGTAAATAAGGTTTTTTATATATAGACGGCCAAGTAAATAACTTAGACTGCTAACAATTAATTTTATCTATGGACCAACATACAAAAGCGATGTTGAAAAAGTTACACTAACACTGACGTTACGTACCACATACGTCGGGTGGTCTAGCTCTCCTACTTAGGGACGTGCTACCCATCTATTTTTTCCCGTCGCACACGCATCTCTGGCCACTAGGAAACTACCAAAAAGGACACGCAAAAATTCCCGCACACAATGAAGTTTTGAACGAAAAACCGTTTGACCGACGTACCACGTACGTACGTCAGTGGTTAAGGGTTAATTAAGAAATAACATCAAACCAAGTTTACTTTAGCTTTATTCAAGAGCTTCTATCTCGTTTTATTTTTAAAATCCAACTTCATTATCTTTATTAAAAAACTCTTAGTAATTAAATATACAGACAGGATATTGAATTTAACATTTCAATTGTAATACGAGTCGCTAATGGACGCGAAAATATAACGACCTTTTATTTGTAAAATGCCTCTCCGTTGATCAATGAGGCGGATAGCGTAAATAAATAAAAGTCGCTATTTCCTTTGTGCCCCGAAATAGCCTCCGATGGGATATAAAAGGACTAAAAAAGAGAACAACCGTTCCCAATTCCCAGGCAAACATAAACACGGAGTAGTCGTTCTCGGTACTCGCGGCGTTAGCCGGCTGATTACCGCCCGCACAAATTCGGGCAGCGTTTACGGACGGCCTAATTGTAGGGCAGCCGCGACTCGTGCATTCGGCCGCGTTGTCGTGGCCGGCGCCACTCGCCACCTCCTCGAGTTCGTGCGGCCCTGGTAGCCTGGCGATTAAAGCGGGGGCGGCAGATGGAATTCGAGAAATGCTTTTTAGCTTAATTCCCCAGTTGGGGATCATTTTAGACGGTTTGCGAGCACGGAATGATAAAGAGTAAACATCCTAAACTCGTATGTTGTGTGTCCTGAATTTGAGAACTTATTATGTAAAAAATAGGATAAACCTTATGGCACAGTAAATAGTTTGATTAAATAAAGTCTAAAATGTTTCGTTTTTCTTGCTGGTGTTTGCATTGTAAGTGCCTAAAGATTTTCGCAGTAATTCCGTCGCGTTGTTGTTGCATTGCTCGCGAATGCCTTGCCGGCTCTTTCTATTTATGTTTCCTTAGTTATGTGAATGGCTGGAAAGGGTGAATTCGGGTACTTTTTAATGGCGTACTAAGCAATTGTTGGCATTCACTTCATTTATGTATAAATTTTAAAAGTAGACATTTTGGCAAGCAGTAGGCAACAATAAATGCCTAGAATATGAAGGTTTTAACTGTATTCTAAGAAATATTGACCCCTGAAAATACATCGATAATTTTGCCCTGTACTACCTGATCCTGCACACTTTCAATGTCGTGTAAAATATTATACAAAGGGAGAAACCGTAAGTGTGCGTGACGTGAATGTCCATTGTGGAATATGGCGGAGTTCTAATCCAATTTTTTCTCCTTTTTCAATATTTTAACTAACGGAAACGAATCCAACAAAATGAGAGATATTATTTAAGGTAGTTGCATAGTTCTATACTCATCCTTCGTTTCGGCCAAAGGACATCCACTGCTGAACAAAGGCCTTCCCCAATGATTCCCACAACGACCGGTCCAGCCTTAATTTGGTGCAAAAATAATAAAAAAATCAATCCGTAAAAACAAATCCTTAACCGCCTCTGTGGTCTAGTGTAAGACCACCTGCTTCAGACGCAGAGGTCCCGGGGTCGATTCCCAGAGGGGGCAGACTTTTCTGTTCGGTTTGGTTGGTGGTAGAACTTGTTCTAAGTCCGCCTGGCTAGCTACCACCATCTTACCTAAGTCTGTCGCCATAACAACAATGTTAACAGCATTGTTGTGTTCCGGCAGTTAGAGGTAAGATAGCCAGTTCCTCCGTGGTTGAGGATTCCGTGTGAAGCTCGGTTCCACCTTCGGCCTGATCGTCACTTACCATCAGGTGAGATACAGGCCAAGAGCTTCCTCGTTGTGGATAAAAAAAAATCGTTTAGTTTTGCAAGTAGGCTCCCAAAGAGCATTTTTACACGTCCCAACCCTACCACTGCTTTGCGACAGTAATATATGTGCCAGGGCTGATGCAGTGCAAGAAACTCAGTGCGGTAGTTAGGTTTTAGACTAAGAGCTGGTGAACGCCAGACCTACGTCATTTTATAAAAGCTGAAAGTTTGTCAGCGTATGCTCCCAATATAGGTTAGAATGTTGGTGAATCATGAAGTCATCGTGGCTTTGGAAGCTATCCTAAAAAAACTGTCTGGCAAGGAGTTGGAACTGTCAAAACTATCTGGCTGATGTGGAAATAACTTCTTATCATTGCCCAAAACGCCACGATGACCGAAACTTCATGATTCACCAACATTCTAACCTATATAGGGAGCATACGCTGACAAACTTTCAGCTTTTATAAAATGACGTAGGTCTGGCGTTCACTAGCTCTTAGTCTATTTGGTTCTGGTTGCTTATTTTCTTATTTTTTCATGGTACCTAATAAACATTATTTATTTTATTCTTTCTTCTTAATGGATGCTGTCTGTTGCAGCCGCGGCACTCAGCCAAGCTGCTGAACGTGCTGCGTCAGATGCCGCACCGGAACGGACCCGACGTGTTCTTCAGCTTCCCCGGACGGAAGGGCTCTGTGAGTATTACTATAATAATATTATCATTTTTAGATTAGAAAATAAAAAAGTAGTCCAAAATCCTTATTTAGGCTGAATTGCACCACCTTTGACGGTAACTGTCACAATAACCGGTATTTTGTATGGAGTTTGACAGATTTTTGACGTTTTTCAAAGTTAAAGTAAGATGGTGCTTGTTTAATTTAACCAAAATGGCAGTCACTCATCACAGATTTAATGCTCAACTATGAATTAGTCAAAAATGGATTACAGGTTCACAAGCTTACAATAATTTCAACAATTCAATAAGTCACTACTCGTAGTTAGTCCTAAGAATAATTTCTTTTTGTGTAGTTAGATTATACAGAGATCATGCTAAACTTAAGGAGATGATAGACTAATGGATGGCCATCATCCTCACTTATCGCACAAAATGTCAAATACTGAAAATCATCATATAAATAAAGTGATCCCTTTGGGGTTTTATAAAAATAGGCGTTCATAAAAAATGTTTTGGAGGCGCCGGGTATCGATCCCGGTACCTCTCGCATGCTAAGCGAGCGCTCTACCATCTGAGCTACGCCCCCGTTGAAATACTTTGCGAATCAAACTGCGCCATTGTAACAGAATGTATTTATTAAATTCAAGTCGCACAGCCTGGGGCGAGGACGGCCTGCGTTATTAAATCCAGTTCGCCTTTCACTCAAAGGCTCTACGATTGCATACACCATGAGTCCCAATAGAAATCTTATTAAAATTAAAAAAGAAGTCTTCATATTTTCAACTGAAGAATTCCCCTTTCACAGCCCCTCATTTATGTTGCCTTAGTACTTGTGAGAATACGTCAACCCTTAGGATTTCTGTTCTAAGAACCCCGCGCGCGCACTTGTCCAATTCTTCCAATGTTATTATTTCCTAGTACCGAAGAGAATAATGATACAACCCTTTTTTCGGGGAAATGGGTGGGATGAGATAGTTATTAACTTTATGTATTGCAAAGGTGCTTCTCTTTATAAGCATTTTTGAAATAAATAAGTAAAACTACAAAAAACATATCACAATAAGAAATATGTACCCTATTGTTTCCAAAAAAATCTGGAGGCGCCGGGTATCGATCCCGGTACCTCTCGCATGCTAAGCGAGCGCTCTACCATCTGAGCTACGCCCCCTTGTGATGATAGTAATGAATGTTGTTATATTTTTTTCATTCAATGTCTTACGTAGCCTTCAAGGCGCTTTACGCCAACTGACCCGAATTCATTTCGATAACGTCGGTGAAAGACCGCCTATACAATAAACAAACACAATAAGCTTATTTTGTTTCAACAATTGGTGTGTTTTTGCATTGTTATTTACATCGCCTGAAGGTTGAGCTGGAAGTTGACAAAAGCTTTTTTTAAAGTCCACTTGTAACTGCATATTTTTAACTGTTACTGATCTGATCCTACTTTGAAAAAGAAACAAAAAAATCCTTTGTACCTTTATTGAACAGCTGTTTGGTTCCCAAGTCATCTGTTACATCCCTTAAACATTTATGTATCCCTGGTACCCGTGAGAATGCGTTTAACCCTTTTTACCTCCTTATTAAAACGGTCGCTTGTTTTTTGTGTAGGCGCATAGTTTCTTCTTGCTATTTTATGATCGCCTGGTAACAATGGCAAACGGCTAGATGCCCTTTAGTGTTATTTTTTGTCTTTTTAGTAAAATACTCAATAGGGATAAAAAATAAAGTCACAAAAAAGTTTTGGAGGCGCCGGGTATCGATCCCGGTACCTCTCGCATGCTAAGCGAGCGCTCTACCATCTGAGCTACGCCCCCGTTGTTACGTTAATGTAAAAGAGATTACTATAACAGTGTTAACAAATATACGTCACAAGTATATTGCAAAATATTCTTGCCTTTCACTGGCGTAATCAACTTAGTATTGTTAAGAACAATAGCGGTTCATTATGTATAAAACAAATCCCATTGATGAGCTTATTCATATTTGTCGCTGTTTGTTTTATACATGTGTCTGATCTGGCATGGGTATCCAACTATCCACTGTCCACCTGCACTAATTGCTATACATGGTATTGGCTAACTAACCAACCATACATATTAAGTTTTCGTTAAAGAGAAAACTGATACGTTAGTCATTTTCAAAGTTTTCGACTAGTGAGAACTGCCTTTACCTCAAAAAAACCTAAAACTTTATTATAGTGCCAAACAAATAAAAAATAAGTAGGTAATATAGTTTTTGTTTCCGTATGTATTTGACGGGATGAAAGTTCGGCGATGGAGATCTTAACGGCCAATAAAACAAAGTTTACGACCGTTACGAAAGTTACGGTAAATCTGCGACAGTTTCAGCCGTGCATTGATTGTATGGTTTCCTTTAAGAATAACTAGCTGACCCGGCGAACTTTGTTCCGCCTTAATGGCAATAAATAAGCAGACTTTTTTTTATTTCGAACGGGATAAAAAGTATCCTATGTCCTTCTCCTGGCTCTAAACTACCTCCCTGACAATTTTGAGCTAAATCGGTTCAGCCGTTCTTGAGTTATAAGTGGAGTAACTAACACGACTTTCTTTTATATATATATAGATATAAAAGAAAGTCGTGTTACATAGGATACTTTTTAAGCCGTTGGAAATTAAAAAAAAGTCTGCTTATTTATTGCCATTAAGGCGGAACAAAGTTCGCCGGGTCAGCTAGTATATAGATAGATGTCAACTTTGCCTGTTTACAGATAGTAAAAAATAGAAGTATTTGATTGATTGATACTTACTGATTAGGTGGACAGACGATCTAGTGAATGTCGCGGGAGGTGCCTGGATGAGGCCTGCGCAGGGCCGGTATTTTTAGAACTCCTTGGGGGAGGCAGTTAACGTCATTTGGCTGAAACGAAGACGAACGATCGACCCACTGATTGTGTTTCGTTTTTCCACACTACGTCGATGCACGTCGTAACTTTTACAACAGTAACTCTGCTGAAAATACCCACTTATAATATATATACTTAAATAAAAATGAATTGATGTTCGTTAGTCTGATTAAAACTCGAGAACGGCTGGGCCGATTGAGCTGATTTTGGTTTTAAAATGTTTGTCGTAGTCTAGGGTAGGTCTAAACGGTGAGCAAATACGCGCGCGATATTGTTTTTCTGTGACAGACAAAATTCCACACAGGCGGAGCCGCGGGCGGAAAGCTAGTCTTTAATATACATAAATGTATTTACAATTCCTGCAAAGATACAAAAATCTAAGCATGTCTCTAACACCATAAGACACCTGCACATATTTCGACGGCCGACTCCAGCGGTCGCTCGCGCCAGCCGATCCGGGCGGTGTCTCTGTAATTTAAATTCCATCTTCTGTTGTGAATTCAATCTTGGAAACTTCGCCTTGTTATGAACGGGGACAAGAAATGCGGTTTAGGGTTGTCACTTTTAGATTTACCTATTTTGAAAATTATAATTTAGAGCTTTTCTTTAATTACTATGAAAGCAAAACGATTAGAATTACAGTTTTCATAAGTCATGTACTTAAGACATTTTTTTTATGGCACATACCTATTGCACGACAATATTATTTATACATCTGTAGCACACATACTTTAACAAGTATTTGATAGTGGCAAAAAAAATCGAATGATTACTTAAATTAGATTTTTTAAAACCGATTGTCAACCCTGCACGAGCTCACGACTTCCGGGCGTTGGAAAAGTTCGCGCTTGTTGTGAAATTCGCGCTCATTGGCATTCGCGGCGAACACGGCGATAGAGCCGGCATTCGCTATTCGTTTGGTTGCTTCACAGGCCTACAATGCCACTGGCGGTCGCGGGCTTAAATGCTTCGGGGCAAATGTTAGTTTGACCAGTAATTATTATACTATGGCTCAACTCGACTGGCCAGCGTGGAGAGAAAACAGGGTGTTAGGTAAATGGGTATATGAGCCGACACTAGCCCATGTTAACATGGGTATATAAATGGTATGGTGAAGTCAGGAAATTGATATCTTCATTTTAATTATTTTAATTTTCATACAAATCGGATTTTATAAAATTAATTTTGTATGAAAATTAAAAAAATAAAATGATGATATCAAATTTCTGACTTCACCATACCATTTATATGCCCATGTTAACCTGGGCTAGTGTCGGCTCATATACCCATTTACCTAACACCCTGTATAGGCAACTTTATACTCTCCACGCTGGCCAGTCGAGTTGAGTAATAGTATAATTTTAGTCCTAGTTCTATTCTCTTCAAAGTAAGCAAACACATATTTTAGCATTCAAATGTAATAATTTTGGAGGTTTAATGCCCGTTTTCACCATCAATCTCTAATTTTTAAGTGTCCCCTATGGTAACAAATAACAGAAATTTTGTTGTCATAGGGGTCACTTAAAAATTAGGGATTGATGGTGAAAACGCGCATAAGAATCTTAAATAAGTTGCATACCGCGGAATAAAAAGCACTAGATCAGATGCAATCCATAAATTAATCAGTAATAGACAATTTCTCTATGACATATTTTATCAAAAGCGAAGTTTTATCGTTTGCTAATGTTATGCTCGTCCATAATTTAATGTTTTCGCGCAGCGGCCATGTTTCAGCCCCCTAATAGAGCCTTTGCGCGGGCGATTTATTATTTAGTGGCGGGTGTACAAACGCTGCCTTCCAATATTTATGCTCGCCTGGTAGCTGCGAGGAATTTTTAATATTTCCCCCGATAAAAATGTTCAATTTCTCGCTTTTTGGTGCATTATTCAAATGAACCGTGTCGGTGCCAGAAAGTTAAAATTTTTACGGGTTTTTTTATTCCGTTGAGGATTGACATAACCAACCGTTGGCTGTAGAATATGGAATTAACTTCTCTTGTATTCTGAACACTGTAGTTTCTGCATCACTAAATTAGTGAAAAGAGGGTAATAATTCGGTAATTGTAAAAACATCAACTTTCATTAGCTAAGATATACATACAGTCGTGAAATTCTGTCATTTAATTTGCCTATACCTATTTAGAACTTTGTGTCTGATATTAACACACCTGAACTCCACCCTTCCAACATAAATACTTAATCCTCTTACATTAAAACCATTATAAAACGAGCGTCAATTTAAAGAAACAGAAAAACATTTAACTCAGCCAGACGTTCCATTAGGTATGATTTAATTAAGCCCGACTCCTATTTGAATAATGTAGGGGATTTTATTATTTACTCTTTTGTCTTTCGGGTTAAACCGCGTTTTAATCTGTGCTCATTTTGATTGGGATAAAAATACCTACATCAGAAAAACCCTTTCAAAAAATTTCTTATTTGCAATCACTTAATCATAATTTACCTTCTGAAACGGATTTTAAAGCCTTTTTTCTGATGGGTTGTTTTCAATATTTTGCAAGGAAACAGCCTGTAGATATTGTAATATTGTTTTGTTATAAATATAATTTCGTGATTGTTTCACTGGGGCCTTTGTTACTTTATCGAATTGAAACCTAAGGCTGGGATGCACCTTCTTATTTTTTTAACAAAGGTCTCAAGTCTGTCAAACTCTATACAAAAAACACCCGTTATGGTTATAGTTACTATTAAAATAAGGTGTAATTCAGTCTTAGTATGACAATTGAGTACCTAGTGACAATGGCTGGGTGTGATACTTTGAGGAGCCTGCACATTTGAAAATTGGCTTAAAATGAAGCTAACAAAAGAAATTAGTGATTTCAGCCTATTCCTAGTCATAGCCAAGAAGTATGCAGCGACTTATGTAGTTATTGCCGCTCCATAGTATGGTTGCCAACTCCGCTAATAACTCTTTAAGCTCATACGTTGTCTTGCATAGGTTAGTGCAGTACTAAATGAGATTTTATAGCTCTCTATTCAGCTTCCATTTAGAATGTATTCATATTTTTTTAACAAGGTACGAGTAGGTACGTTAGCATGATAGAACTAAACTTACACAGAATGAGCTTGGTATTCGTAGTATTACATAAGATAAGAATAAGAACGTCTTTATTTGCTTCAAAGTATGTTGTATAGTTAGATTTTAAAATCCCTATTTAAAAAAATAAGCCTCAAATAAAACTGATAGCTCACGTAATGTTTTAAATTTCGCATTCAGCATTCCATTGCATGATTAAGAAGCAAGAACAAGATTATATTTTATCTTGACATGATTCTCATAAACGAAATTCCAAACGAAATTATGAACAGACGTAAACGCCGATTCTTCTTCGTTCATAAACAATAAGTTTCGAAGACAAGAATTTGTTAATTGCTCGTCTTTTGTAATTGATAAAATACGCGCGTAACTTCGAGAATACAGCGCAAATTCAATCCAAATCTTCCGAATCTGATGAAACTTTGATTGGAATTTTGTTTAAATAAACTAACCTCGACACCCGATAAACAAAACCCCCGTTTTGCCTGTCGTCAAGAGTCTGAGCACTGATCGATACCAGGCGAGCAGGACGTTTTGGGAGATCGCTTTAAGCGGGCTCCTCCTTATTGGCAATTCTTATTCAAATACGGGCCGGCGGGCGTAATCCGAGTGACATACTGGGCTATCTGTATGTCCGTTTTTTCCTTATTTATCACCGTCTCGCCTGGGGCCGGTCCATTTCTCTCTGTCGCGCTTATCCGAAGATCTGACGGCGGGCTGACGCTTCTTAGCGGCTTCTGCTCGCCTTGTACCGCTATCCATGTGTGCAGTGATTTATGAATAATTCCGTTTTATGTAATCCTGGTAATTTACTTAATGAGTAAGTAATTAATTTAAGGATGTTACAAAACTGATCCATATACAGTATACACATTGTTATCTTGCATGTCAACGTCTAATGCTGACGTATCGAATCCATCACCTAATAAAATATAATCTACTCGTTGTTATATTGCCTCTACTTAATACGAGTAGAAATGGTAACAGGTGTATAACTAAGTAAAATAAATAAAATCAGCTCAGAGCTGCAGATACATCAGCGTTATTTCCCGATCTCGGACAGAAAATTAGAAGGCTCTTCGTCCAATGCGATTGCATTCCGGCTAAATCCGATTCGACAGCATTGCAAGGCTGCACTACAAACACGGAAAGATTTCCCGACCTGGCAAAATATCCCCGGCGCTGCCGTCTGAGAAAATATTTTTCCATCTTGGCTTAACCCGAAGGCCGAAATTGAATCATTTCTTCGCCGCTCCAAGAGGCTCGTTTTTAATTAATTTCGCGATGTATTGTGCCGGGAACGCCTGCCCCGTTTTTGTTTAAGACGCGCGAGATAAAAAATTGGAATTCCTGAGATTTGTTCCAAAGGAGCATGGTGTAAAGATGTTATTACGTGATTTATTTGCCCCACTCGGAACGGGGGCATTTCTTTTAAAGGCAAATTGTAAGGACTTTATCTCCAAGAAATCTGGGGCGTGTAGAACGTGCCTTAATTCTTTATTATCTGACATTATTCTACCCTTAAGATAAACCTTCAAGATGGCCATGGTTTCGAAGTGGACGTTACATTACCTTTAAGGCGATTAGAGTCCTCAATGACCTTGGGCGTTTGACCTTCACGCCGCGAGCAACACCCGCGTACCCCGCACCAAAAACTCCGATTTGACACCGATCAAAAATACACGGGCATAGGTAGATACAGAATAGAAGCTCTTTCTTCATACATTACTGCCTATTATTTTAAACTTAAATTGATGAACCTTGATGTCGGTGTCATTTAACTCAGGCGTAAAGGTATTTAATAAAAATAACAAAATCCATGAACATTTTGTACGGGATAAAATTTTATTTTATTTTTCGTAAATTTTCTAATGCTTTTATCGGTTCAGTCGTTCTCGAAATTTGAACAAACCCGACTTTATTACAAGCTTTTATTTAGCTTGCAATTTATGATGTATGTAGGTAATTACATAAATGTTTGTTCGGGTGGAATCTTGCAAGCTGAATCAGTTGCAAGCTGAATTAGTTAGACGCGATACGCCACGCTTGAGTAGAATTTTTACTCAAATGTGACGTCACGCGACATTTCAACTCAATATAATACNAGAACTACACAAGTTTATAACCTGCGTTTTACTCAAGATAACAGTATTACCTTTGTAAAACCAAAAACCGCATGTCTCTATCCCTATCACAACGTGGAACAAAACCACACTTGCACTCCAAGTTTGAGCCATCCAAGAATCCCCACTTGAACAGATTGTCCTTACTACGGCCGACCTGTTCAACTTAATTAACTGGATAACTCAATTAAATGGGTGGTTAACTTACTTTGTAAAGGGAATAGAGTCCGCCGCGGTAAGATGGAGTCGCCGAGCATTTCATAAAGCGCGTAGTCGGTGGACACGTAGTCTTCTAGGTACGTGGTGGGCTCAGATCTGAGCAGGCAGGTCGATGCGTCCTGGAACAACAAATGGTGATTATTTCTCAATTATTATTGGCATTGTAAGCATCTGCGTAAAACAAGTATACCAGTGGGTCTAGACAAGTGGCACTTTATGATCGAATCCGTTGAAACTCTAAAAAAGGGTTTTCGATCAGCTTTCGATATAAAAACTGTCACATTTGGCATTTTGTCTAGGGCAGCGGTTCCCGAAAGGTGGTCCGCGGAACCCTGGGGTTCCGTGGAAAGGCCGCAAGGGTTTCGTAAAAAATATTATCCCACGTTTCGTGACCGACGTTGTTCGCGCGCACCGACTTGTTTACGCACAAGGGAGGGGCAGGGCGTGCGGGCGGAGTAGTACGGGGGTTCCACTAGGAAAAGTATAATCAATTAGGGTTCCTTGGCAAAATAAAATTGGGAAACCCTGGTCTAGGGGGCAGGTGCGCGCCTGGCGGCCACGACCGTCACCAACGCTCTGGTATACACGTGGCGAACGCAGGAGATGTGTGGGTGAGTGCGAGGGAGGGTCGCATTCCAGCAAGGTGCGGGTCGCAAGTAAGTATTATTTTTCTAAGAATAGGTAGCATGATTCTATCTAAAAAAGAATCTCCCAATGGTGTTTCAGAGGGTTGAAGGTATTCTACAAGTTTCCATAGACATAGAGCTATGATGCATTTATTTAAAAAGTTAAAGGTTGCAATAAAGCGCTGGATACAGGCCCTAACCAACCAGTCAATCTAAAATCATTGAGGACGGCCTATGCTCATCAGTGAACGTCGAAACACAAATCACTTACGAGTATAGTCTCCCTAAGGTCAGGCAGCAGGTGATTCCTCCTAGGCGTGTGCATCCACTCATCCAAGTGCTGCAGATGGTCATCCAGGCACTCTATAAGCGCCCTCCTTCCTAGAGCAATGACGCACTTTATCATGGGTGCGGTCAGTCGCTCTTTAGTGCCTTGCGCTAAGTAGTCAAAGAGTATGCTTTTACCTGAAAAAAAATACGTTAGTTTATTTGAATATGATATTTTTGAGAAAAAAGACTTCGGCTGGATTTCAACAATGAATTTCGGTCTACAATAAGCTTGGACTGTACTTCAAGTTAATGCTTACGTAGTTGTAATCTCTGATCACGATTTTTGTCTGTGATTTTACTGTCCCAATTTTTTTGAGGAAGAGCGAACATGCGAGCTGGAGAAACTTGGCAGTTCTAGCCTTAATATCTAACTGGAATTAACTGTTTCAACTTACCTATTGCTATAAAAGAAGGCCAGGTACGTGTGATTTTTGTGAGTATTGCAACCATTTTATCTGATAACGATCCATTTCCTAAAATATTTGACACCATCACTGGAAATAACCGTTGGAACTGAAAATAAAGGGTAATTGTAAGCGTCTTTAATGATAGCTCATTTCCAATCTACCAAAGCTTTCTAAAACGACCTTTTATAATTGGGTATTCTCTATCGAGGACATCCGTAAACGAACTAAAGTCGCTGACATAGCCCGACGGATTAGCAAGCTGAAGTGACAATGGGCAGGGCACAAGTACGCAGAACTGACGGCCGATGGGGCAGCAAGGTTATGGAATGGAGGCCGCGTACCGGAAAACTCAGCGTGGGACGTCCACCTACAAGGTGGACCGACGACATCATAAAGGTAGCAGGGAAGAGCTGGACGCAGGCCGCTACCAATCGATCAACGTGGAAAGCATTGGGGGAGGCCTATATTCAGCAGTGGACGTCCTATGGCTGCAGCCATAGGAGACTGCAGCCATGATGATGATGATTCTCAATTATATTCACAAAAAACATGATACAATTTCGGAGATATGACGTCTCCCTGTTTTACCCCTCGCTATCCAGTTGCAGCGAGGGGTAAGACAGGGATACGAACGACATTCCTCCGAAACTGTTTACCACCGCCCTGGATGATGTCTTCAAGCTTCTGGACTAGACCGAATTCGACATAAATATCGACGGCGAGATGGTACCTCGATATTATCATTAATTAGCTTTTGCCTGTGGCTTCACCCGCGTGAAATTTATTTTGCCACAGATAACATATGTATTATGTTATTCTGGGTTCTAAACAAAATTACCACAAAAATACCAAAAATAACATCCATCCAGACATCCAAACTTTCGCATTTATAATATTATTAGGATAACTTACCTGTTGCTGTATATTGGTGTCTAAGCTGCACGGGTTAGAACAGAGAGCATCCACCATGTCCAAAACGTTCGACTGCAGCGGTTTCTTCGCCGGCACGTTCAGGGCATTCAGGTTATCGTCGTTGAGAACCAGCACCGCCAAGTTGAATAGATTTGGGAATATCGGCCCGATTCGTGTGTTCTTTGTGAGATCTTCCACCGCTATTTCTTTCGGTTTCTTCTTCAGATTCAATATTGCTGGGAGAAAAGACATTTTATATTAATACAAGTGGCCGCACGCTACTTCGTACGCGTGGATTCCGTTTTACGCCCTTAGGGGTGGAGTTTCACCAAATCCCGTCTAAAGGCCTATTCAGACCTAAGCGGTATTCGCTACCGTCTGCGGCAGAGAAAACCCAGTGGGTATGCGGTAATAATACTGTTCAGACCTAAGCGGTATTGATACCGCGGGTACTTGATACTAAATACCTGAGCGAAACCCGCGTGGTATGTACCTCTACCCACAGCGGCAGCGAATATCGCTCAGAGCCCCGATTACGGTAACTTATAACGTCAACAATCCAGACACGCTTCTCGATTCTGCGATACGATTGGTCGTTCAACAGCGTACGTCAGCTGTTTTGACCAATCGTATTGCAGAATCAGAAACGCGTCTGGATTGTAGACGTTAAAAGTTACCGTAATCGGGGTGCAGGTCGCTCTAGCCGCGATACTTGATACTAAATACCTGAGCGAAACCCGCGCGGTATGTACCTCTACCCACAGCGGCAGCGAATATCGCTCAGGTTTGAATAGGCGTTTAGTGAGCACCCACATTCTAAAAGGAACCCCCATTCAAAATTTGAGACCCTAGAAGTGAGACGACCTACGAGTGGTCTGAGACCGGAGTTTCATAATCTTAGTAAAAAACTAATAAAGCGGTTTATTGAAACTTTAACAAACACGATTAATGTAAGAATTAGAAAATATTGGCAAATGGACGAATACAAATTATTACATGAGAAGAAATCTAGTATACCCCTATAATCTCATAGATGCTTGATCAATATTTATTTCTTCACTCACCTCTGGCTACTTTAGTGTAATAATTTTGTAAACTAACGCTTATATTGCTATTGTTATTCAGACTTTTCTCGTCGGTGATCCACTCGACAGACACGGTGGGGAGGGTCGAGAACACGTAGCTTTGCGGCGTTAGCGCCGCTTCGGTTACGTTTATAAGTGTATCCTGAAAGGGCCGTAGTAATTAATGATACCGCAGGACCTCTATGGATGAGAGTGGCGGAGGACAAAAGGCAATGGAAGGAGTTGGAGGAGGCCTTTGCCAATAGGCACACCGAAATTTATTTATTTATTTATTTGAACACCAACAAGGTTACATTGAGGCTTCACAAAAGTAACTATAAAAAATTACACTTGTTAAATGCAAACTTAATTATAGGTGAAAACATCATGCGTTAGAGACTAAAGCAACAGCAATTAGGACAATAAATAGACAGAAATCTTAGACATTTTGTGAATGTTTTTTTAAGCGAAGAAAGTGTCAAATGTAAAATGTAAAAATGTTTTGGAAATAAAAGGCTTATTATTATTATTAATTAATGATACGAAGAATAAATACATGTATTCGCTAAAGACTTTAGATGATTAATTCGGCAATAAAATCTGTTTTGTATGTTTTTTGTTGCAAAATCCCGTGATAATTTATAGTAAACTAGCTTTCCGCCCGCGGCTTCGCCCGCGTGAAATTTCATTTGTCACAGATCGTCATAAATTATAGCCTATATGTTATTCTGGGTTATAAAAAATAATACCGTAAAGTTTCATCAAAATCCGTTCAGTAGTTTTTGCGTGAAAGAGTAATAAACATACAGTCATCCAGACATCCAGACGTTCATTCATCCAGACATCCAAACTTTCGCATTTTTTTTTTCCCCATTCTATTGTGCAACCTGTCTTTAGGAGCACATTCAGCAATATTTCAATATTTATTCGTCAGTCAAAAAAATTCAACATAATAATATGTAGTTTAAAATATTACATACAACTGGGCAGCACAACTTCTCATCACCGAGGGGCACGTACTGGGTGACAGATGTACCGACCACTGGGCTGGTGTCCGTGAGGCTCATCACCGTGTTCACGTCCCAGCTGTCTACCCGGGTCTTCTTGAACATCTCACTGTGCAGTGCTATTGTCTATAACATAAATGCAAACATTTTTCATGAATTTAATAAACTTCATTTGATACCACATTAACATATTTAGCTAGATACTATAAGTAAGAGAAACCTGTTCCTAAATATTTAATGTACTCCTGAGCTCTTTACAAAATGTGGTCAAAAATCCTGCTCACTTCTAGTACAATGTGTTACTCAATTTTTTTGTGCTATGAAATTATTTGAGTTTGATAATAATATTGAGCGGAATTTTCATTAAAATATCATACGCTAATCGTCTGTCGCAGTTTGTAGCTGACATCTTCGGCAAGATTTGTGGCTGCTTCGGGATTGAGTTCACAGGCCATCTGCTCCGCCATGCACACAATGGAGTCCGGCCCCACTCCAGCAAATCTGCCTTGTGACGTACTTCCATCCTGCATAGAATATTATCAAAGTAACATTAGCACTTCTATTCTAAAGAATACAAGAATAAATATCATCATCATCAACAGCCCTTTACAGTCCACTGCTGGACTATGAGCCTCCACCACTATAGTAGAGGGTTTTGACATGATCCCCACGCTTGGCAGACGGGTTGGAGATCGCAGTTTAAAAGATTTATGTTTGTCAGAGAGCGCTGCTGCCCGTTCTCTGTTTGATGTGTAGTCCCTAAGTCGCCTCTTACGACACCCGCGGGAAGAGTAGGGGTTGGTGACAAATGTATTCTACTCTGCCGTCACCACACGGCTGAATAAATATACAAGCTTTAAAACATTGTTAAGCTGTTATTTTCTAAGATAATTTGCAAGCAGTAATGTACAATATTTTCTTTTTGTATTATTTATTACAGATCAACATGATGTAAAAAAAAATGTTTCCCATGGGACCCAAATACTATTTTATAGATGAAATGTTAGAGAATTTAATTGAAAGGCATACTATAAAGTACAACACGCTGTTTTAGATTATTGTTACATAGTAAATCCAAGCATAGTGCCTTGTTTATAGACATTGCTACCTATGTTTAGAACAAGCGCATGTCAAATCGCAATGGGCGAAGACTGGAGAAAACGACTAGCTGGGCTAACATACCTTCTCAATCAGTGGTGGTGTATCGCACTGGCTGGAACCACCAGATTCAGAAGCGATAGACTTGTTTCTATCGCGACTACTGCTCGACTTTTTAGAATGATTCTTGCTGCTACTCGAGCCCGACATTTTAGACGCGAACTTCACACACTCATGGCAAAATTAACACACAAAATACAGACTAATCTCACATTTACAAGACAATATCAATCAAATGGAAATCGATAATTTTATGAATTAAAACATTAGTAAAATTAATCCCATGCACTGTTTTCGCGTTTTTCGTCTGTGTTTGACAGTAATGACAGTGACAGATAACAGATTTTTTTTAATCTGCGTTTTGTATTCTATCAATTGAGAATGTTACTAGGTATGCAAAATCACTTGAAACCTAGCTTACAGTTAAGCTTTTACATTTACAAATACATTAGTTTTTATTTCATTCAAAAATACCCAGTAGTTATGATTTTATAGGCATTCAAAGTTCGCTTAAATATTGAGTCCCGCCGACGGTCACGTGACCCCGCGTGACGTACATTCACAGTGTCCGCTCATTAGAAAACGGATATAAACATACTTAAATACATTTTTTTTTTGTAAATACAAACTTATTATACATATTAACAATCAGACCCATCACAGAAATTAAAATTGAACCAAACCCAAACTTGATGCGATTGTGTCGTTTTATTGCGAATTACCTTCCAGCTCCATCATTAGACCCCGATTACTATATAGAATTAAAATACTCATCAATACAAAACGAACGAGCCCAAACTCGATGCATTTAAGTCGTTTTATTATAGAGTTCCTATGGCCACCTTCCAGCTCCATCATCAGATCAGCTCCATGTCATCATAATATTGCATGGTCATCCAAATCACATGTGTTTGCGAAATTTCAGCTTAATCGGTTGCCTGGAAGTGGGTCTTAATTCAGCTTGCAAGATTCCACCCATACCAATATGAGCCAGTCACTGTAATATGACGTCACGCGCATAAAATGGCGGGGCGGCCGCCGCCCGCACTTTTAAAATTTAATATCTTGGAAACTAATTGACGTATCGAAATAATTCTTTCACGTGTATTTTTTATTTTTAACAGAGAATACAGAAAGCTAAAAAACAAAATTAGTGAACATTCTTCATTACAAAATTAATAAAAAAAAATACTTATTTTTATTTTGAATTTTAATTAAGTAAATCAATTCGTCACAAAATATTGTACTAAAATACGTTATAGTACAGAATGAAAATTGAGGCACCTGTGATTGTAACGCCTGGCTCCTAAACAAACGTGCAATCCATCGGTTTTTTCTTTTTTGTAGTGTGTACCGACCGACTGTGTACCATTCAATATTTCATCAGAAAAATGCGCCCGTAATTAAATAATTTAATTTAATATTATTGGTCTCATATTGTGGACCTCGCAGAAAGTTTACTACTCTCGCTTGCAATCGACGAGCAATATCTTAATTCAGTAGGTACCCTTAGCACGAATAACTCCGGGCCCTATAGATAAGAGGAATATGAAGATAAGGATCGACTTTTAGAAAAACAACAGTATTACAAGAGACATTATTTTATTTTACCTAACTAGGAAATCTTAAATTAATTTATTACTGCATAAGTACAACGTAACTTAAACCTAGTTATTTTTGAGAGATTCACGTTAATACAACTGAATAACATGTAGCACGCAGCACGTGGGCGCCGATTGATGTTGATCGGAATTCACAAGTCAATTTATTATAATTATTAAGACAATTACATACGTGCAGTTATGTTTCATGTTTTAGCCCTTACTTACTATTCCTTAGATTCTCCTAACCAACTTATCTACAGTCAACACTAATATTATAAAGAGGAAAACTTTGTTTGTTTGGTTGTAATGAATAGGCTCAAAAACTACTGGACCATTTTTAAAAATTCTTTCACCATTCGAAAGCTACATTATCCATGAGTAACATAGGCTAAATTTTATTTTGGAATAAAATAGGGTTCCGTAAAATATGTAGATAATGTAGCGCACGCGCGCGAAGCCGCGGGCGGAAAGCTAGTTTAGAATAAAATGAACATTTTAGCATTAAACTCTAAGGAACTCTTTTGTTTCTTCTTTGGAGATGTTGTCATCCGGGTTTACGAGATTCTTGTTTTTAAAGTCTAGTTCAATTTCGGTTAAAGTTCGACCCTTCGTCTCCGGTAACTTTATCCAAAAAAATAAGAGCATAAAGAACATTAAACAGGCGGTGATTGATAAAAACCCATAATAGTCTAAAAGTGCGAACAGTGCCGGAGACACTTTAATAAGTAAAAAGCAGAAGCCGGTACCGATGAAGGCTACGATGGTGTTGCAAACACCACGGATCTCTAAAGGATACAACTCGGCGGGAACAGCTTCCAGAATCGGAAACAAAATCACAGCTATTATGACTAAATGACCAAAATACATTACAACATTACTCAAAACTATTAGAGAGTTATCATAATAATCGTAATTAAAGTAGAGAGATATACTCAATCCAATAAGAAGCAGATTGTTGAATATCCCTGCAGGAAACAATAAAGTCCTGAAGTTTATCTTTTTTAACATTATAATCGTAAAACCACTCCCAACAAGGCTAATTACATTTAGCACCATTATGTATAGCAATACGTCCGACTGTCCGGTAATCTTCTGGAGTATAAGTATCCCAAAAGCGCCAAAAATTATTCTACCGCAAATCATTTTGTAGATGTTAAGTACAGAGGCTATAAGCAATATATTCCAAAAGTACCTTTTCGTGGCTGCTACCTTTAATCGTTTAAGAGTTACTTTCATAGCGTTGACATTTTTTTCACTATTGTCGAACTTAGATTTTTCCACATTAAGCATTGATTGGAGTTCTTTCTGTGCCGAGGGTTTTATTCCATGTAGTGATGTGAAGGCCACCTCGCACTCCTCGAATCGACCTTTGGATGCCAGCCAATGCGGGCTTTCGACACAAAACAAAGGAATAATTAAAGACAGAAGCGCCGGTGCAATGGCTATCATGGCAGCCTGTCTCCAGCCTACATCAATACCCACATATGATCCGGTCATCGCCCCAATTCCAGGGGATACAGTGGTTATGATTGCGAGATTCAATCCTCTCATTTTTGCAGAGCTGCATTCGGCTGTCATCATGTAAGTAATTGGTATATTGCCTCCGAACCCGACGCCTGCCAACAGCCTCGCGACCATCAAGACATAACCATCTCGTGCGTAGTACAACATAATCCAGTGTATTATTACTGGGACGTTGAAGATAACTATTGTGAGCCTTCTGCCGACTTTTTCTGTGATTAAAGTTGCCAGTAAAGTGCCGACCACCATTGTTAAAAACATCACGGACACTGAAAAAAATAAAAATAAAATTATTAGTTAATTTTGACCTTGGTAGCTAAAACGAACACAAAACAATTGTTGTTCAAAAGTTAAATAAATATTGATGCGAACTGTAGGTACAGATTTTTTTTATAAATAAAAAGATTATTAGTAATTTGTTTTACACAAATTACTAATAGTCCCGTTAGCCCCTCGTTCTAAGCTAATAAATATGTTTGTGTCACGAGTGGGCTCACCATAATAGTCGTGGCGGGATTCGAACCCGCGTTCCTCGGATCACGATTCACGAGTCTGCCATTCCGACCCCTTCACCATTCGGCTATCGTGGCTTTTTCTTTATTCTGTGAGCATAGATTATTCTAAGTAATTAATCTAAGTCTGTGAGTCATTTTACTGCTTGTGATTTTTAAGTGGGAATTACCACTACCACTACCACCATCAACCACGATAAATACTACCCGTTCGCGCTAAGTTTGCCGGTCCGTGGAATGCGTGTCCCCTCCCCCAACCGCAATTAAACGCAATTAGTTAGTGATTAAACGCAATTAATGTGTCTTATTTCACGTCAATACTCAATTTTTATCAATATTATTAATTGACATTAAAAGTAAAGAAAGCTATCACTTACTTATCCAGGATACAACTTCGTCAGTGAGTTGTAAATCTTCTTTTTCCTCAAATAACCCAGCGACGAAGGGGGCGGTGTGCCCCATAATGTAGCTCTCCGTAAACGTGTTCAACCCCATGCCAACTATGACGAGCGTCTGTAAAATTAGCAAAATGAAATCAGTTCTGTCCTGTAGGTATATCCAGGATCTACAATGTGTCTGGGGAAGTAAATAATCATCAAACTTTATGGCGATCTATGGACAATTTTATCGATGTACTTCAAATCTGGGGTTTGACCCGCCTCTCGCCAAATTACAAGAATTTTAGTGCTTAATTTTTGATTTCACCTCCTCCTTTAAAAATAAGAAACAGCATGGGCACCTTACACTGATAAAAAAATATTAGGTATCATTCGATATCTAAAAAAATTACTAGAACTATTACTAGAAGTAGAAACAAAACCTAAACATTTTATGCGAATAAGGATGAATTTAAATAATTAAAAAAACGTGACATTACTTCACGTCTTTTCAGTTACCTATTTTAAAATATCATAAAAATCAGGTCGTTAAATTATGTTTTATTTGCATTATGGTTTATTTCCACTGTCCCCACTGGTGGGAATTTAAATCAATACTGGTGGGAATTAATTCAATATTTAAAAAAATATTGTTTTATATTCCCGTTGTACCCACCGGCCGAAGGAGTGGCGACAATGGGAATAAAAAATAATTATTATTTTATTTAATTCCCATTGTCTCCACTACTTACTGGTGGGGACAAGCCTAGTGGGAACAATGGGAAATAAGGGCAAAAATATTACTCTACGCCACTCTTTACTTCCGATGCTATTGTTGAACAAAGGGACCGTTCTGTTTTCATAGGTACTAAATTTTACACAGACAGACTATCGACTAAAATTAATAAAAAGAACAAAACATTTATAAATAAACGATTTTTTGAAAATTATATATTAGTAACAAATTTTATTTATTTATTTATTTCCATTCTTATTTAGGTACTTACCATACGACATTTCTCCGTACGCCCCATGGCTTTTAAAAAAATTCACTTTTGCGAATGGCAAGCCATAATACCACTGTCACCACGACCGTCCGCCAAAATGAATCGATGTAATTGGAATAGACGCATCGAGACAGTTTTAAGTATTATAATTACAGCAGTACATAAAACGTACATAAAATATAAAACGTCTTCAAAAACAGCAATTTCTTAATCGTATCGATTTATTTGCATTACGAGACCTTATACGTTGAGATAAGATGTACTTAGGCAATAATTAGTTATTCCTTTTGCAGTATTTTTCAAGAGCAAGTTTATTCAACAACAAACTGTTACATAAATCAGTATTCATACTTTTTAAACTTTTGCTTCGAAAACAAACATTCGCTAGAACTCACCCGGATTACCTACATATTTTCGTACTGATTTATCTCTACTGGTACAAAAAGTTTAATTGTTTTTACTATTTGTCGCTACTAAATGGGTATTAATTTTCTACTGTTTTGAAATTGCAAGTCAACCTATGTTTTTAGGCTAAAAAACTCTCCCAGTGTCTCTCTACTAACAACTACAAATAAATAAAAATTTATTTCGCGAGGACTACTTATTTCTTTTAACCGATATTTCCTTTTTAGATAGCAATAAAACTCTGCGGAAATGCTGCAATTACGCAAGTAAATGTTTACTTTTTTTAACGTTTTTCCTTCTCCTGTAAAATAAGCCTAACTACAGTCAAAAACCTGCGACCACTAACCATTTTTGTTAAGTAAAAAAATAAATTACCAACTCATTTGAAAATTGTTTATCTATATCCTTTTGTAAAACACTAGTAACCGTTAGATTATGGTTGATTGATTTGCATTTAATTATGTAAAGAATTAATTTACATTCAAGATAAGTAAAAAAAGTTTCAATAAAACTGAAATACGCCTTTTTAGCAGGAAAATACTTTTCGCTGTTTTTTTTCTATGTTAATTTGTATTAGGTATGGTATTCATATGTCAAATAAAGTTTTTTCTATTTATATTCTACTAGCTTCGCCCGCGTGGAATTTTATCTGTCACAGAAAAACTTTATCGCGCACGTCCCTGTTTAAAAAACCGGGATAAAAACTATTATTAAGGGAGAGTCCGGCAATTTGGACCAGTTTTTTTCAATCCCATTTTACACATAGTTTTCTTTTGTTTTTGCTAATGTTCATGGTATATAATTAAAGAAAAATTATTCAACTTACTATTTCATAGGTATTAATCAACATAATTGTTGTATATTTAGCACAAATCAACAAAATACGAGTTCAGAGCTTCGGTCCAATTTAGCCAACCGGTTCGATAATTTGTACCACATGGTTACTAAATTGGATTTCAATAAATTTCAAGCCTTTAAAAAAACTATGGCAAAATATTATACGATACATTCTTAACAAATTAGGTAACGAAAAGGAGCAGTAGTTAATAACATAGACAATCGATATTGTTTTACACGTTATCACGATTTTGAGTACAAGTTTTGTAATTCCAATTATCGTAACGCACACTTCTACCTAATCTACTTTGCCAGTCTTTNTAATATTCTGTTTAACAGTTTATTGAGTTATAAGAAAAAAGTTATAAATGGTCGATAATTAAAATACTTTCTTTAATTTTTCGTCTCAATGTGTTTGAAATCTTTAAGTGGGCAATAGCTATACGGTTTACCCTACGCCTTTTTAGCAGGAAAATACTTTTCGCTGTTTTTTTTTCTATGTTAATTTGTATTAGGTATGGTATTCATATGTCAAATAAAGTTTTTTCTATTTATATTCTACTAGCTTCGCCCGCGTGGAATTTTATCTGTCACAGAAAAACTTTATCGCGCACGTCCCTGTTTAAAAAACCGGGATAAAAACTATTATTATGTCCTATCCCGGGACTCAAACTATCTCTATGTCAAATTTCATCAAAATCGGTTCAGTGGTTTAGGCGTGAAAGCAAGACAGACAGACAGACAGACAGTTACTTTCGCATTTATAATACTACTATAGTATAGATTCATACACACACTTTAATTAAAGTTCATTGTTCCGTTGATCATTTAATTATCCGAGCGCGCTATGTGAGAATTAATAAAACATACTTTTACTCTTACTATACAAATTTATTAAAATTTTTATTTCATAACTAATAATATTAAATAATATGGTTGTCATAAAAATATCCAACAAACATTACACGCTTATCTAGACGCACTATGTTATTGGCATAAGATAAAAAAAATAACTCTTGTCTGATTTGAGGCACATTATTATTATTTTATTATGTCACTAATGCATAACCGTAAGTAAATGTTTTTACTTAAAATTATGTATAAAATAGGTTTGACATAAAAATAACTCGTAACAGTTACTCTATTATGTACCATCACTTACGTTAAAAATATTTCAAAACATGGCAAGAGTCAAGTGTTACACTTTATTTGATGCTAGCACCCGATGTTTGGCAAAAGTTTCCAGTATTTGCCAAGGAAAAGGAGCTTTAGCGCAAAGCACATAAATTAGATTTTGGTGAAAATAGGCCTAGCCAAATAACACAAACATTTGTACAAACATCAAAGTGCTGGCACGTGTAAACTTCGCTGCGACACGTCACCTACCATAAGTTGAAAAATATAATATTTGCTAAAAAAGAAAAGAACATAAATGTTAAGTCCCATTTTAACATGATTATTGATGCTCAACAATTTTAATTGCTCAGGTGCTCATATCAAATTAATGAATACATTCTTACAATAAAGATTGAACAGACAGAATAAACTAAATAGGTACATAAATGATTGTTGGTTGATGACATTCGCGACGGTACTATAATGGCTCTATACACTATCGCTGGTAGAAGAGAGATAAGTAAATGACTTATGAACACATTGGAGAAAACAGATGTACATAGAAAGAAAGTAAAGAAAACCACAATGAGCTCTCCAAGCCTATTATAAGAATCAACAACAAGTTAACGAATAACAATCATATAATTTAAACAACAGACACATAATGCCTTTTAGAATGTCACGATTGCTTTTACTCGATGATTTGTTAAGCAACTTACAAGGAAATTATTAAATTATTTGCTTACACAGCACTTGGCGTATTGGACCAAATGATCGGGTTACTTTTGTTCAAAACTTGGCCAACTTTTGGACTGATACGCATAGCACGGTAAAAGCATTATTAAGGCCCCGTTGCACAAAAAACTACTAGGATTATTTATAGAATTAAGAATTTAACATTGATTGACTACTGACAAAGGAATAATCGAAAGTGACTTGGAAAACCAACAAGTAACGTAAAATAGACAGCTTTTTAAAACTCACTAAATAAAGATACCTATCTTTAAATATCATTCAGTTTCTGTCTTCTCATAACTTTAAATAATGCATGATGTGTTAAATACTTTGTTAAAATTGATATTTTATAAGTAATTTATAAATTAAGTAATAAGTAATTCGTTTTTAAGTTTGTTGAGCAAATGGGCCTAAATCATTGAAATATTGACGTAATTTTATTTATCTAAGAATGAATAGGATATTCTAATAAATACTAAGCGCCGATTTAAAATTATTGCTATTTTCATGTATTTAATAAGGCCTTTACATAAAATAATATTTAACTTTCAGCTAATTGTCCATTGCAAAAATACAGGGTGTTAGGTAAATGGGTATATGAGCCGACACTAGCCCAAGTTAACATGGTCATTTAAATGTTATGGTGAAGTCAGAAATTTGATATCATCATTTATTTTTTTTTAATTTTCATACAAAATAAATTTTATCAAATCCGATTTGTATGAGAATTAAAATAATTAAAATGAAGATATCAATTTTCTGACTTCACCATACCATTTATATGACCATGTTAACATGGGCTAGTGTCGGCTCATATACCCATTTACCTAACACCCTGTATAAAGTAATGTATATTTGTATATTCATTGCAGGTTAGTTAATAAACAATTTACTTGATTATGAAAAATACATTTCTGTCAGTCTTACGTACAAAGAAGTACTCGAATTGCTTATTTATTGTAAATTCATAATCGGTAACTAAAATGTGATATTTTTTGCTAGTGGACACGTAGCCTACAAGAAGAAAAGACTGTATACTTTTTCTATTAAATAGGTATATGAGGTTCTAACGATATTTGCTTATATGGTGCCAATGAGAAGGCACTTTTGGTATATAATTAAGTATATATTCAGCGTAATTCTAATAATCTCTTTCACTATTTTGCAACGGTAAAATTTCCTTTGTTATGAGTTGATGAAATAGGTATGTTAAAAAACATACGGTTTTACGACCTCTCATATTGAATTGCAAATAAGACACGATTACTTTTATTGCACGATTTCAGTAAACTTGTACATCGATTTAAAGGTTTCCAGAACACACGGTGCCTTGCGGGCGATGATTAGCATAATACATTAGAATTTTCTTTTTATTTTAAAGGATTTTAAAGGTGACCTTTTCAAGATAATTCCGTGCATTGTGAGCGATTTTAATCTTCCAAAAGGCGCGAAAAACGAAACTAATGCGTCGCAATTCTTTTACACTGCGCGAATATCAACTGGGCTACTCCGAAACGCTGTTAACGTTGTTTCGGGTTTATCTGTCACCGTCTCTCATGCTGGCATTTCGCTTTGCGTGAAAGGGATGGCAACATTCGAAACTTTGGTTGGCAACATAACGTTTACGTTTTTCCGAGAAACCTCGCAGACCCGTGCGTCTTTCAATCAGAAAAACATTAAGCCGGATATCGCTCAAGGATTTACCTAAGTGGACCAAAAACTTTCATTTGACACGATTTTTATCACTAGCGTACAAAATACCAAAACTAAGCTACCTGTCTCTAGCAAATCAAACTACCTTATAGTATCAAATTTCCGCAATCAATTTTGAACCATATGCTATAGACATAAAGCTCAAAAACTATTGGAGAAATGGTCGTTTTATGGTAGACTAACATGCTAGAGACCATACATTACGTACTGAGAATATAGTTTGTATAAAAGGCATTTTATTCTTGAACTTTAGTTTCATGATTGAGATGCATGTATGTTTTATTAATATTAATGAATTATATTACATTTAAGTTATGATATAAGAAGCGACTCTTACTTCTCTTACGACCAGCTTTAACAGTTACATTCGAATTCATACATTTTTGCAATTTACGAATTTTTTTCAGGCATAATACACATTAATTTTGTACAACACACAACAATACATCTAATTCCGAAACCCCACCGTTGTCAATTATATCAAATATATTCTAGGCTAGCGATAACGTTACTATTCGTTATTTTAACGTTACAATAAAGTTGGCCACATATTCTCTTTTTTTATTATTGCATTAATAATCCTAACCGTTGTATGGTTTTAAGGCGTATTTACACAGGCTGCCATTCATGCTCGTTCAGATTATTTTCGTACGTTTAATACGAAACAGTATCAGTACCTCTAGTAGGAAAAACTTTCGAGTTCGTTTCGTTGCGTATTCAAAGTGTCATCAAAAATTTTGTATGAAAAATTAAACAGCGCCCCCTATATTATAGCCGCCCTAGGGGGCGCTGTTTAATTTTTCAAACAAAATTTTTCGATGACACTTTGAATACGCAACGAAACGAACTCGAAAGTTTTTCCTACTAGAGGTACAGTAATCGAGTCATATCGATATGATACAGTAAGATATCGATACTTGTTGATGCAAAACTGTGCTTTTTCTATCCTTGTTTAAGTCTTAATTTTGTATACAATCGTATTGAGTGAACGATTTACGAATAACGATTCGATGAGTGCTGACTTCAGACACTTGCCAAGTTTCATAGAGCTGTTTGCTTGCGTCTAAGGCCTCCAACACACTAGCGGTTTCCCAGCGTGAACGCACGAACGTGACGAGCACTCACGCTAGTGTTGTACATAATATACGCTTGTGACATCGAAAAACAGTAAAACATCTATAGCTAGCGATACTAATGATTCTTGCAAGCTTCCACACCACTTATTATAAGTGCAGACGTAATATTTACAATCATGACACTATAATTTTCTCCTTTCAGAATTCAAACACCGAACCGTAGATTGCTCTATATTCCGGTACGCAAATTACAACACCAAGAGATCGACAAATTACGATAAGCGATAGCGTTTCCACTAGTAGTGACGGTTGATCAATTGAATACTGGTATTAACACTATCGATGTTACTAATTAATTCTCGATCCTTAAATTATCGACACATACACAACACCAAAGCTCACTCGGATAAAGCTGGAGTGGCTAACGCTATCGATGTTGCCATTTCCTTAAGGTCAACTATCGACACATACACAACACCAGCGTTTGCTCAGAGAAAGCTGAAGTGGCTAACGCTATCGATGTTACCATTTTCGATTCGATCCACTATCGATACTCAAACTATCGACTCATACACAACACCAGCGCTTGCTCGGAGAAAGCTGAAGTGGCTAACGCTATCGATGTTACCATTTTCGATTCGCTCAACTGTCGATGCGAACTATCGACACATGCACAACACTAGCGCGTGCTCGGACAGCGCTAGAGTGGGGGAGGCCGCAGAGAAGTCAGGAGAAGAGATACCCAAACCCAAATAAATAAAGAGGTTTATCGTGAGGTCAGTCGGAGTCACTGCCCGACTCGGACAGGCAGAGATCATCGTTCAGCACGTCGCTAGGCAGCGCCGGGTTGCTCGTGTTACCTGGCGATAAAAACATGTTATTAGTATACAGTAAAAAGATTATGGTAAAAAGTTGGTAAAAAGATTATGAGACATGTAGAGGCTCCTTAGGAGCATATTTTATGACGATTTGTAAGAACTATTTATTAGTCTAAACAAATAAAGAAATTTTGACTTTTTTTTTGACAGGGTGTCCCGTAAAGAGCTTTCCAAACTAAAGGAGATGATAGACAAATGGATGGCCGTCTAAAGCCTGGTCCGTGAGCACGTAGAATTTTGTCCAATGACCCCCAAGCTACCCATCCTTATCGCTCGTGCGTAATTATGTTGCTGTCGCGCTCGCACAGTCGCGACAGCAATATAATTACGCGCGAGCGATAAGGATGGGTAGCTACCCATCCTGGGGTCATTGGACAAAATTCTACGTGCTCACGGACCAGGCTTTATAAAGTATTTTTTTAAAGTATCACCATTTTCGATACGATCTTCTTTCTTGTTTTTTTTTATCCCCAATTTTGAGTCTTCCTCTTGTTGCTGTGTGTACGAATGAGCAGATATTTTTCTTATTCATCTTGAAAATGATTTGCCCATTTATAAATAGCAAAAGATAGACTCAAAATTAATTAAGGATTAAAAAGAACATGACAAAAAAACATATCTCTGAAATGGTGATACTTTTTTTTTCTATAGATGCTTGTCCATTAGCATTTAGCATCTCCTTATGTTTTTTTGAAGTTATATTAGCGAATTAAACACGCTAAAGTCCGGTCGCCGAGCAGATAGAATTTCGTATAATGACCCCTTGGGGTCACTTGGAGACCGGACTTTAGAGAGGTAGAGGTAGGAACCATCAGGATATTATTATGTAGTTTTTTTTTCTTCACTCCAAATAACGATTACTCTCTATGACGATAAATAATAATGCTTCCTTTAATTTCGTTATAAAGACTTTAGACTGTAGGTACACAAAAAAATGAACTTTATGGGCTTGCACTTACCGTTGGGAACGTTCTGGTGCGCGCTTGAGTCGTTGTCGCTGTCACTGTCGCTGCCGGAGTCGCTGTCGCTGTTGCTCGACGAGCTGGACGAGCTGTCGTCTTGCTGCGGCTTCTGTCGAACGCAATAAAGACTATATTCGTTTATGTTTTATACAAGTTATAGGCTTTGAGTATAGTTTTGAACATCTTGGCCCTAAGGTTGACTGGAGGAGAATGCCGACTGGCATTAAGTCTGCTTTATGTAGTGTTATGTGCGCGTGCGAGATGAGCGGCAGCCTGTCGGGCATCGCGCTCCTCTCCTGGTACGTCTCGCCCGTACCCATTATACGCATTATGGGCATTATTTTTATTTTTTATTTTATTATCTCATAATATAACACAGGTAGCATAAAAAAATAGGTCTTACACAAGCCTAAGAGTTATTCTTCTTTTTAGTTTATAAACAATTCTTATAAATTAAGTATAAAACATGGACTTAGAACACATGTGAGTTATGAACATTATGCGCGGTAGAAAAGTATCTTAACTCACCGGCTGCGGCGGCGGCGCATGGCTCACAGGCGGCGGCGCGTGCGAGACAGGCGGCGGCCTGTCGGGCACCGCGCTTCTCTCCTGGTACCTCTCACTCGTACCTATATGAGCATTATGGACACTATGCGCGGTACAAAAGTATCTCAACTCACCGGCTGCGGCGCGTGCGAGACAGGCGGCGGCCTGTCGGGCACCGCGCTCCGCTCCTGGTACCTTTCGCCCGTACCCATCATGGACATTATGCGCGGTAGAAGTTTGTCAACTTACCCGCTGCGGCGGCGGCGCATGGCTCACAGGCGGCGGCGCGTGCGAGACAGGCGGCGGCCTGTCGGGCACCGCGCTCCTCTCCTGGTACCTCTCACTCGTACCCATATGAGAATTATAGACACTATGCGCGGTACAAAAGTATCTCAACTCACCGGCTGCGGCGGCGGCGCGTGGCTCACAGGCGGCGGCGCGTGCGAGACTGGCGGCGGTCTGTCAGGCACCACGCTCCTCTCCTGGTACCTCTCGCCCGTACCCATTATGGACATTATGCGCGGTAGAAGTTTATCAACTCACCGGCTGCGGCGGCGGCGCGTGGCTCACAGGCGGCGGCGCGTGCGAGACAGGCGGCGGTCTGTCAGGCACCACGCTCCTCTCCTGGTACCTTTCGCCCGTACCCATTATGCGCGTTTTTAACATTATGCGCGTTATAAAAGTTTGTTAACTCACCGGCTGCGGCGGCGGCGCATGGCTCACAGGCGGCGGCGCGTGCGAGACAGGCGGCGGCCTGTCAGGCACCGCGCTCCTCTCCTGGTACCTCTCTGCCGGCGCGGGCCGCTCTCGCCCGTACCCGTTGTGCACGTTATGAGAGTTATGCGCGTTATGAGCGTTGTGAGCGTTGTGAGCGTTGTGAGCGGGCGCGGGCGCGGGCGCGGGTGCGGGCGCGTCGTCTAATCCGATCATGAAGAGAGACGCTAGCGTGCTGTTGCCGCCTCCTGACCAACTGGATGAGAGAAATAGGACATAAATAGCAATACGTTATTATAATGATGTTGTTTTTGAAATTATCATTAAATAAAAAATAAAATAAAAGAGATTCTGAAACTCAAATGAGTTCATTTTGCGTCACTTGTTGCAATGTTTTCAAACAAATTTCTGCGCCGTTGAAGCGCACTATAGTCTAGACTAGGGGTCTCCAAACTTTAAAGCCTTGGGGCCATAATATTTTTTTCGGTATGTTGCAAGGGCCATAACATTTTTAATTTTTCTGCCCACCTATGCAAACAAAGGCTTTGTCTTAAGCTGTCGCGGGCCGGATTGATGGTAGTGGCGTGTGGCCGTAGTTTGGAGACCCCTAGTCTAGACTAGATGACCTAATGATGGTGATGACAGCGACTAAAGCCTGGTCCGTGAGCACGTAGAATCCCGTCCAATGACCCCAAGCTACCCATCCCTATCGCTCGCGCGTAAATATGTTGCTGTTGCGACTGTGCGACGGGCGCCCGCAGTGAGTGTGCGAGCAACATAATTACGCGCGAGCGATAGGGATGGGTAGCTTGGGGTCATTGGACGGGATTCTACGTGCTCACGGACCAGGCTTTATGATAGCGGTACTTACGGCGCGGCCTGCGGCGGGGAGGTCTTGACTCGCGGCGGGGAGCGCACCATATTAGGCTTGTGAGCCCCCGCGTTACCGTTGAAGCGAGCCTGGCTGCCGGCCGCCGCTCCAGGGCCTGTAAACAATATGTGCAATGTTTAAATTCAGATTATAATCTCAGCCGATACCATTGCGCATCACTATTCTCTCCTTTTATTCATCCAGCTGCTGCATCGATCCATAATATGGCCGCAACTTATCTTTATAACGATTATAATGAGTTCATACAAATGTTCACCCCTTATGGCGGCACTACAGATGGCCTGATCACAAGCTAAGCTGCCAAAGAAGCCGCCGGAAGCCGGAAGAACATATTCCTGAAAATGAATTTTGTCCAATGACCCGTTCATTGTCACGCTCCCACACTCACTGGGGGCGCCCGTCGCACAGTCGCGACAGCAATATAATTACGCGCGAGCGATAAGGATGGGTAGCTTGGGGTCATTGGACAAAATTCTACGTGCTCACAGACCGGGCTTTAGCAGGAACCACCATTTTCAGGAATGTTTTTTTTTATTCACTAAAGTCTGACACCATACTTCAAGTCATTAGTTGTCAATGTAGCATACATATATGTAGATGACCCACTCTGAACTGTCCCACCAAACTCAATGACAGGGGGGCGCTACCATCGTTCAACTATATGGTTTCCAACATGGCAAAAATCTGAACCAGCGATCCGGTATTGACGGTGGCGCCCCACTGTCAATGTCATCGACAGGACAGTCCAGTATTTTGGAACTATACCGGCATTAGTGTTGGAGCGCCTGTTAGTGGCGACCCTGGTGCGCGACGTGCTACGCTGAGTCGTGTTGGTGAAGTCCGTGGTCACCGGCGTCAGAGGCCGCGGCTTCTGCGCTGTCTCCTGCCTGAAATATAACCGGATTAACACCTCTTTGGAAGTGAAGTTACGTTTTTATTAAAGCACCTCCTTTGAAACTATTGTAAACATCTAAAAGAAAATTAGTTTTTAATTCCTGCCAGTATTATTTAAAACCTCTTTGGGACTGTACTTTGGTTTTTGCTTCAGACACTATTGTAAAACCTTTTTCAAAAAGATTAGTTTTTTATACCAGCCAGTATTATTGAGCTGTCACTTTCTACAGCTCTATGCTGTGTGGTATGTCTTAAAGAAGAAGGTTACAATTATACCTCCCTAGTTAATTCCAGCCAGTAATAACATACCGTTGTCGTTAAAAGCAAGCCTTTTGCGGCTTGCTTGCCAAGGAAAAAAAAATTACATTTGAGATGCTTTTTTCTGTGTTTTGTATGAACATGGTTTGGATAATATTCAATCATTTTAAGTGGTTTTCTTGACACTCATCTATTTACTTAATTGAAAAAAATCTAGTTTATAAAAGTTATTTATTGTGCCAAATGTTTTCATACATTCAATCTTTTTATACTTTTCCTGTATTTTAGAATAAATTTAGACAACCTACAATTTAGCTAAAGAAACTTTTTTTAACACCAGCTATAATAATATTGGCTGCCTGTTATCATCTGATGATGAAGACACTAGATGTTTTAAATTGACCTCCAAATTGCAGGTTAAACAAAAAGTGTGTCAATTCACATTGCATTTTAACGGAAAAATAAGCATTTATGTAATAATTATGTTTTATCTTAAGTACCAAAAATAGCTATCATTTTCGTTTACCTTGAAGTTTATCTTATGATAATGAAATAAACAAAAACTGTTTGGCAAAAAACCCAATCCAATCAACTATTTAAAAATAAATAATTGTAAGTAATAAAAAATATGGACATTGGAATAGATAAAATTATCACTGGCTTGGTATTATTGACTCGAAAGGTAAAAAAAATCAATTTTAATTTTTTTTATAACCGATGACCCCATATTGGTCGTGCCCACCCCAGAAAATCTAATCTTAGAAATAGAATATTATTATCTACATACTTTAAGATACTAATAGCACCCCAGGCTTCATGTAGGGGTTTGAGCCCCTCATGAAAATGTCCCTGGATACCCCAATGTATGTGGTGTGCAGTTTTGTGTGAAAATGTGAATATTAGAAATACTGCAATACTTACCTAGTCTTTTTAACCTGAATATTACTAGATAATTTCTCTAAGGTGATTTCACCCGTGACCCTGTCAATGATTAGCACACATTCCTTCGTGTAAGGCCGCTGGCTTCCTTTAAATACCGTCTGCGGAACGCCAGCACCATCTGAAAATATTATTGGAACTTTTGTTAATTAACTTGACTTTTTTCTTACATACAGCTATAGTCTGGTCTGTGCACATAGAATTTTGTCCAATGACCCCAAGCTACCCATCCTTATCGCTCGCGCGTAATTATGTTGCTATCGCGCTCGCACACTCAATGCGGGTGCCAGTCGCACAGTCTCATTTCAAGGTACTTATACAAGTCCTAATCCCAATATAGCATGCCCTGCCACTATTTCAGGACAACATCAGCTATTGCTGAGAAGAAATGGCGGTAGAAACTCAGTCACCTTTGTCAGCCTCTTATTTATTACAGGAAATCATAATATCCTCAATCATAAGACAGTTATTTCAAGAATTAAATAAATAGAGGACACTCAACTTTACCATAACCGATAATATGATGATACTTACCTAAATGAGGCACTGTTACAGTGACCTGGTTGTTAGTACCCACATCCACGGTTGCCATTTTGTTGACATCAACTGATGCTGGCTTGAAGTCATCTGTAATTTAAAGTAGTATTTTACAGTAAATTTACATAGACTATCATATTATTATAGTATTTTATTTATTTTTATATGTATATGATATAATACTTACACTTTATTGTATGGTACTGTGAAGACTTATTATTAGTAAAACTAGCCCCCAAGTTTAATTCTCTCTCATCATAATCGAAAGTAAATTTATCTGCCATTTTGATAACTATGCCATAAGTTATCTAGTACTCTGAAAGAAATAAAATAAATATGATTGAATGTTTTACAGAATAATCATTAAAAAGTGGTCAGTACTGCAGAAACACTATTTAATTAATAATTAAGTTATAAATGATAGTTTTTAATGTTCAACTGCACATGTTTTATATTTGCAGCACTTTCAGTGTCAATTATTGCAGTTAAAGGTTATCTAGAAAAGTTATGTCAGTAGTTATTATAATTCCTGCGATTATTAACTGTAGGTAATCAATCAAGTGGATATCTTCACTTGAGTGCAATAATACAGGCCACTTTACTAATCTTGTACTGGATAATATAAATAGAAGTGTAGTGAAAAAATGTTTTATTTTGTTGATAAATCTGCGGAGCTGTAGGGACTGATGAAGATTGCATACTAATGCAAGGAAAAAGTAAGATAATTATACCTACATTTCTTTATGAGAGATAAGGTATTTAGTTCAGTATTGTAAATTAAATTGGCTTTAAAAGTTCTCATCTTGAAAAAAGTGCATGGTGCACATAATTTTCTAAAGCAAAAACTTAGGGCAAAAATTCAAAAAATTAAGTGTTTCAATAAGATGATTAAATAATGATTTACATAGATTTTGCTACATTTTAGACATAAAAAAAGATTAATTACAATAGCCAACATTTTCTTAAAGTTCAAGTAAGTATAATGAACCAGGAAAACGTAGAGGAATTAAAGGAGTAGAGCTCGTAACATTAATTGGGTATTACCAATGTACTAACGTAGACAAAATCGCCCGAGCGATTTCGCCAGAACGACTTTGACAAGATTTGACACCTCAGTTCCGCTAAAATTTATTTTCACACGATAAAATGCTTAAAGAGCATTTAACATAACTAAGTATTTGCACAAAATAAAATAGATGGCAAGTTAAAATTGATAAAATATGGCAAACAGTCGACAAGTCGAGTTAAGGATACCCTTACCTTTGATTAAGTTTCCTCCGAGGTTATGTACTGTTTATCCCTTGGAAACAATGATCATCGTTAGATTTACTCTTAATTGTGATAATCTGATAATAATTTCATCGGAGGCACCTTAGAATGATATTAAAATAGTCCATTGGTTAGGCATTGACTATTTTTTTCGACCTAGTTCTCATGACGTTTGACATACCTGGTTCGTAGCTAGTGATTTCAAAATTCATCTGGAATCATCGATATCGATAAATAGGAAAAGATAGATTAGTGCCCGTTTTCACCATCAATTCCTAATTTTAAGTGAGCCCTATGACAACAAAATTCATATTATGTGTTACCATAGGGGTCACTTAAAAATTAGGGATTGATGGTGAAAACGGGCATAAGGTTCAGATTCTGGGCCCCGATTGCGCTAAATATTTTCAACTACAACGCGACTAGACGATGAACGAAAATCATAAATTCCTATCGCGGTGTCGCTTTGTAATTGTCAGCTAGTTAAAACGGAAACAAAACGAAACTGCTTCTTTGTGTAAAAGCTGAAAAAAAGCTACTTTTTCTCAAACGCTTTCACGAACATTCATTTTCCTGTTTTTAAGTAAAAATAAAGTGTTTTACTTTGAATGGAAAGTGATTAAAACCGTTGTTTCGTCTTTGTTTACGCGTGAACTTTACCGCGATAATTAGCGCAATCGGGGCACTGAAATGTGTAATTATATAAGTTGACGAACAAAAAACCAAAATCATTTTAATCAGAATCTTGTGATATACAGGGTGTCCCGTAATGTAACGTCAAGCCAGAACTGGGTGTTGAGGCAAGTTGTGCTGGTTATCAGAAAAATATAAAAAAAATCCATGTGGCATTATTTCAAAATAATAGGCATTTAAAAAAAATCTAAAAATTCTACACCAGGTGACGGTCCTTTTACTCGTGTTGCCACAAATCTTCACTTTTTCCAAATTATTTTTTTGTTATGTAACCCTGAATAATGCTTCTCTAAATTGTTATAAATATTACAAAACCAGCTGCTCCAGCTTGGATGAAAAAAATAGATAATTCCCAAAAAAATTTCAAAATAAAAATTTTGCTCAGTTTAAACTGGCTGTACTGAAAAAAAATGTACTACGCGAGTGTGGCAAGTGACGTCATAATTTGGCGCATTCAGTAAGGATTCCAAAATGGTATAACACGTCTTGGTAAATTTTTGCTGTAATTGTCGCCAATTTTTGTTTTTTTGGAAATAGTCCCGTGACTATGAATGAATAGTCGTGTGACTGACTACCGTACAGTCAGTCACAGAAACTTTTGTCACCATGACAGTAATTAGTAGTTGACATACTGTGACAAAAGTCACCTGTGCACGCCTTTACTATCTGCTCTGCCCGCACTTGTACTTGGTAACAGGGATAATAAGGATATGTATGAATTTTCGGTTATGGATACGGTTACGGATATTAGAATAATATTATACCGGTTTCGGTTACGGTCACGGACATGAAATCATTTCAGATTATCCGAAAGTTTCGGATAATTTCGGTTACGGAATTATTAAAATTTCAAAAATGTAGGTATAATACAAATAGCAAGATGCTGCGTGAGCGTGACCCACATAGCTACTTTATGTACCAACTTAGACGACACCTATGTATGATAAAGGTAAAACAGGCTGGCATATTAGATGGTGCCAGCGAATGCCAGACAAGTTGGTAACAAATATTAAGATTTAAGGTACAATTCCAAGACGGGCCGCAGACCGCAAACTGCAACCACAAACTGCAAAACTATGAAATCGGCAGCGCGGCATTGCAGCTGCGGCGTGTATACTGCAGATTTCATAGAGTTTTGCAGTTTGGAATTGTACCCTTAGACTCCGCCTTTATACGAAACTATCCGTAACTTTTGAATCAGTTTCGGTTACGGTTATGGATATTTTTTTATTTCGGATATCCGATAGTTTCGGTTACGGTTACGGATATCCATAACATACCTGTATCCCTTTTAAAATGGCTTCTCCACCTCACTTAAGCCAGAAACTTGAATTTTGGGCACATTAGAATAATATTTTTAACCAAGGTAGATAAAGTTAAAAACGGGATTATTTCCAATAAACAAAAATTGTCGACAATTATACAGCAAGATTTTACAAAGTGTTATACCATTTTGGAATCCTTACTAAATGCGCCAAATTATGACGTCACTTGCCACACTCACGTAGTACAATTTTTTTTCAGTAGGTACAGTCAGTTTAAACTAGGCAAAATTTTTATTTTGATATTTTTTTTTGGGAATAATGTATTTTTTTATCCAAGTTGGAGCAGCTGGTTTTGTAATTTTGATAATAATTTAGATAAGCATTATTCAGGGTTACATAACAAAAAAAAATTTGGAAAAAGTGAAGATTTGTGGCAACACGAGTAAAAAGACCGTCACCGGGAGTAGATTTTTTTTATTTTTTTTAAATGCCTATTATTTTGACAAAATGCCTTATGTACCTACACTTAGTGAGCAAATAAATGAATATGAATATGATTTTTTTTTTATTTTTCTGATATCCAGCATAACTTGCCTCAACACCCAGTTCCGGCTTGACGTTACATTACGGGACACCCTGTATAAATTGTATTACTCATTACTTTTAAATGAGGGAAAAATACTAATTATAAGTGTATTGTAAACCGGATCTCCCCGGCGCAGTCGGGTAAAAACATTCAATATTTTTTGTAGGAAATTTTGTGCAATTAATGTTTTAATTGAATAAATTAAGCAATGCTGGGTTGACGGTCCAGACCGTTTAATAAAACCGAAGTCTCAGTTACTGCCCAAATTCGTACCTATTAACCACCGATTCATAACCGAACATTGATAAATGTTTATTTTTAAGCCTCGAAGAGGCTCCTTTTGCCTTTTGTAAGTCTAAATAAATAAGTTGTCTTTCATGGATTACGATGGACGTGCCTTGGGATTTTAATAATTTTAATTGAAAAAAAAAAGTGGATAAAGATGTGTGTAAGTGTAACACATTGTTTTCTAAGTTGTTTTCTAATGTTGAAGTAGTAAAATCTAAAATATCTCAATTCTTATATGCGTTAAGCGTTCTAAAAACCAATTCATCAAAAGAAACCGCCTTCTCAGCTTACTACGCCTATGCGTACGCCTGGCTACGCTACGGCATCATCATGTGGGGTCATAGCTGTGATTTTCCAGACTTATTCATTATGCAAAAGAAATACTTAAGAATAATTATAAATATAAAACAAAGAGTCAGTTGCAAACCACATTTTATTAATGAAAAAATGTTAACTCTACCATCTATTTATATTTTAGAAGCAGCAATATTCGTAAGAAAGCACATGTACTTATTCCAGCAAGATCCAAACCCCCGCCGCAGGACTAAACTTCTCCTTCCAACCCCTAACTGTGAAATGTTTAGAAATAGCCCGGCATATCGTTGCATACAAATTTTTAATAAACTTCCTGATAGTATAAAAAATATAGATATATATAACATTCATATATTTAAACAAAAGCTTAAAGCATTCCTAATAAATAAATGTTTCTATAGTGTTAAAGATTTTATGGAAGATAAATAATAGTTTTTGTTAGAAGTAGTAGAGGTATATATTGTCATTTGTTATATAAATATAATATAATATTTTATATAAATCTATTAATAACTGAAATAAGTATGTAAGATAACATATAGTACCTACTTAATATGTAAGTAGATTGCTGTACCCAACCGGGTGTGCATTAGTTACCTAAGTTACCTAGTGTTAAGTTTCTTAGTGTACAATGTATTTTATTGCAATAAATAAATAAATAAATCTTTTAAAGTTATTTAATCGATATATTCAGCTCACGAAAATTTAAGTCATATGCACTAGTTCATGATGACATGTTCTTGTTTGGTCAGAAGCTTGATGCATTCGCAAGTCCACCAAACACATAACTTTCACATTTCAAACCATAGCGCGCGCGCAGCGGTGAGCTCTTTTTCTCACTGTGACATTATCTTTCTCTTTTACAGTTTTAAAAAGAGAAAAAGAGAGATTATGGTTCTATGGTTAAATAAGACATACAACTGCTACGGTAAAAAAACTCACCTGTGCGCACACGCTCTTAAACCTAATTTATAGCAGCATAACATTTTCATTTCGAATCTGATGATTTTCTTTCCTTGCTTGGTAAGCATAGAGGAATTAATTCCTCTATGTTAGTAAGATTTATTTCTACTATAGTACAAAAGATAAAATTGTATGATAAAAAAAGAGCACACTCATGACAGATTTGGCAAATGTGTGTCAAATTTGTCAAAACTGTCATCTCTTACCAAAATGTCACATTTGGAAAAAAAACATCGTTCATTTTGTTGAACTTGAAAATCTGCCTGCTTTTAGAAATTATTTGGCACTTGGTACCATAGAAACCATTAAACAAAATGACTAAAAAATCAATATCGCTGGAAATAGACCCTTCAATAATGGAGAAGAATATGAGAATTGTGAGAGTAAGTAGATAATTATGATTCTTTTTCTTACCCATCATGATTAACCAGTACACACAGTTTCTTTGCGTGATATTTTTGTATTTTTATCTTAAAATATTCTTGTAGGACAATCCTATGGAAGAAGAGTTCAACAAACTGCTTGCTACAGTGGATCCATTGCCGTATAAGACTGTGAAACCAACACCAGGTAAATTATGTTCATACACAGTAAACATACAAAGAACAATAAAGACGCCGGAAACGAAAACTTCTAAAATGTACTACGGTTTGGGTACGTTATCTATGTTAATCCTTAATTATAAACTCACTTTTTGTTCCCTCTTGTAGGTTACTGTGTAAAAACATTCTCAAAACCAGACAACAAGAAAGTTTTTGTTAACATATGTACTGCAGACTCCATACCCAGTCCGAGAGACATCAGTAATGATGAGTTGATGCGAATACTGAATTCGGAAGATCCTTCCAGCTATAGAGTGCCCATGAGCATTGGGGAAGGGAGAACTGAGCAAGATAAGTCTGGGGCACCAGCAACAGTATATGATATAGCCATTAACCCTGAATTTTATAAGAAAACAGAGAAAGATGAATTGTGGCGGACCTTCTTTCTCACCATAGTCTTTGAAGGTTTGCAGGATAAATACCAGTTCGAGTTAGATATGCTAAAATTCACAGTCCTGAAAAATAGAAAGTCAATTGGTACTCTGCAGTCTCACAACATTCAGATGAGAGATATCCAACAGTGCGAGGAGAAGATTAAGTCCCCCCTCATTGAGGAAATTGATGCTTCCAAAATATCTGCCAAAAAGAGAGAGCTTATTTATAGACTGAGAAGAGAACCCCCTACTGGGGAAATAGAATATTTACTAGCTGAATTTAAAATACCTGCCTCTGTAAGTTCAAAGATGTTTATTCTATAAAGAGGGGTNTCTTCTAAGGACAATAATAGATAGGTGCAGTGCTAGAGATGTGCCTGAAAACACTAATTATTTAAACTTAGAGGGGTCAGATTTCAAGCTATTGAGGTTTTAGGGTTTGAAGGGAAAGGCAACACATTTTTTTTTTCAAGTTTCAGGTTTGATGCAACTCAACAAAAAATATAATTTTGACCTTTGCCTTGGCTTTGTTTTTATGATAATTGATAGGTATTTAATATGTGGCATATGTAAATTATCTCTTTAAAATTCAAGTTTTATTTTTAGGTTGAACTTAAGGATCTCAATTTAGAAGTTGGTGAAGATCGCCTGGTTCTAGACTCAAAGGGCATGTTTGAGATAGTTGACTTCTTCTTACCCTGCAGTGTTGACCAGGACATTATTGATGCAAAGCTGAATAGGAATGATGATGTAAGTACATTGTTTTATTGCAAAATCATTCCAAATACATTCTGTCCTCTAGACCAGACAGATCGCGATAATAGATTCGCATAGTCGCAAGATATCGCCCGAATGTCATCGCGATGTGATGTGTGTGGCTCAGGCGTGACAATTTGTTATTTATTTATATTTTCCTTTAATTACCTGACCACGGTGGGTGTTCAGCTAAAAAATAATATTTTTGCAATAACATGTTTTTCTCTACTTTCAGATGCTGTTGGTGAAAATGCCTGTTATTCAATAAAAACAATGTCTAGCCGCTGTGTTTGGAAAAGATTCTAATAATTGAGCCTTAATAAAAATTATGCAAAGATATTTTATTGGTTTTATTTTGAGATTGCTAGAAAAATAAAAAATGTAATGATGTGTAAAAAAATATATTAGTATCAATACATTAATAGCCTTTGTAACTAGCACACTATTATACAGTGATAAACTTATTGCAAGGAACAATTGTTTATTAAAATTTGTTCATTTAATTTCTCTATTTTCACAAAAGCTGTCAATACTATTTTATATGGCTACTAGCTTTTGCCCGCGGCTTCGCCCGCGTGAATAGCGGATTGTCTCGGAAAACACAAACACGGGCGTCAATCTTTTCAAAAACCGGGATAAAAACTGCTGTATTTTCAATACAAATTTTACAAAAAAATCCATTCATCCTATTAGGTACACCTATTAGACTTAAACTAACTTAAAATATCACAAAATGCAGCATAATAAATACATAGGGTACTTAAACCATGTGCGAGACGATTTTTGTGGCTTGGTTTTAGTTGATAAATGCAGGTGAGGGTTACCATACTTCCGACCTTTTTATATCGGCTTCTAATATCAGTTTTTTAAACATGATTGAAAATTGAGATTCGTCTTCATTTAAACAGTTCGAGGAATAGCAATGGTCGATATCCATAATTATATGGCTAATCACACAACTGTGATTAGCGAGATTCTGTTTTTCTAGCCATATTATTTTACATTTACGACAGTCTTCTTACATATTAAATATTGTATTAGTAGGAACCTATAAGTTAGCGAGTATATATTTTTTAAATATTAGACAGATCAATATTGAGAATTTGTGGTAATAGAAAGTAATGTTACCACCCAAATGTCTAACTGGCACATTATCACAAACTTATTGCAATTCAATTCCTACTTATCACTGGATTTATTGCTAATTAATTAATTAAAAATATAAATTATTAATTTGGCTAAAACTCATCATGCTTCGCATGGATCCCTTGACTCCTTACAATATTATCTACAGCGTCTAGCAAATTCTCGTCGTACTTTATCAAGTGTCTTCTGATGTCCTGTATCATTAATTCGTGGTCTCTGACTTGTATGGTGACCACGCTGGTGAAGGATTGTCTATGGTTTCTGTTGAGGTAGAGCCGTAGTGAAGGGTAGCTCGATATCTGTTCGTTCTGACAGAGCCCGCGCTCGTTGACGCAGTTCACTTTGCCCGCGTTGACCGCTTTTTGGAGGAACTGAGAACAATAAGCTTATTTAAGAAGCGTCATATTTCGTCATCGCTACATATCTAAATATACTCAACATCAAATAAACCGCACCTTCCGCGACGCGAACTTTTACGATTTTCTTCTGACACAATCATGGTGCCCCAACAATATTGGTGTTATTTGAAAGCCCAATAAATATCCTTAAAGAAAAACACATTTAATTTCTTAATAAATTATTAGCATATACCATAAATGTGACTTGAAAAAATACCTCACTTTGGGCCCACCTATGGGATCAATTAGACCAATTTTTATGGTTATAAAACCAAATAATGATTTCACGTGTCCTCTTTAACAGATGGATAGCAATTAAACCCAACTTAACAGTTTTATAGCCATAAAAGTTGGCTCTAGCATAACTACCTATTTTTTGAAGAAGTGACTCTGGATCCTTCTAGAGACACATTTTTGGGGTAAAAACCTTTCCTTTAATGAAATGAAGGTTAGAACTAGGCTTTTAAATGGTACCAAAATTGGTGGAAAGTGGGGATGCATACGTTTGAAAATTCTTGTCGCGGGAGGTGCGATTTATTTGACATCGAGTGTATTATATGTATAACTCAAAGGTGACTGACTGACATAGTGATCTATCAACACACAACCCAAACCACTGGACGAATCAGGCTGAAATTTGGCATGCAGGTAGATGTTATGACGTAGGCATCCGCTAAGAAAGGATTTTACGAAACTCCACCCCTAAGAGGGTAAAACGGGATCCACGCGTACGAAGTCGCGGGCGGCCGCTAGTTATAAAACAAAGTCGCTTTTCTGTGTCTGTCCCTAATCTCTATGTATGCTTAGATCTTTAAAACTACGCAACGGATTTTGATGCGGTTTTTTTATTAGAGTGATTCAAGAGGAAGCTTTTTAAGTATAATAACAATGTACCTATGCGAAGCAGGGGCGGATCGCTAGTTTATCAAAGTTTATCGCTAAATCCATTGCGCCCATAATGCGACGAACAACTTTGATCATTAACTAGTTGTTGCCCGCGTTATTAACTATTCGCGCGCGTCCTTGTTTCAAAAACCGGGACAAAAACTGTCCTATGTTAGGCGTGAAAGCATAACAGACAGACAGAATTTCTTTCGCATTAATAATATTAGTTGGAAAGTAGGGATTCCGTACTAACTGAGATAGTTTAAAATATAATTTCTTACAATGCCAGTTATAGCGAAGTCTGCATACATCTCGTAGCACCGGTAGCAACGCGGGGAATGGAAGTACACCAACCAAGGCTTTTTACCACTGAAATGGGAAAACAATCATATAAATACAACTAGAGTTTGGAATTGAAAAAGAGATTAAGGGCCCTCGCCTATGGCGCGTTTCGTAAACGAGCGACAGAATCGCTACTAACGCGCGTTAGTGCTTGTTCACGTCGAGCGGGCGCGGTGACGAAATATCAAACATAATGTAGTGATTCCAAGTGCACTAAGTGCTTGTTCACGTAGGAACGCGCGGGCGCGGGAAACGTTGCGAGCTCGTGTTCACATTAACCACCAGGCGTTCGCGCGAGTGTGACGTACTATCGTTTCTAGCGACAAGTTCAAACTGGTTGAACTTACCTGACGTCGCGGGTGAAACGCGCGCGCCGCCGCTAGTTTGACATGAACACACACAAACATCTTCACGCGTTGAAATTACCGCGAGCGCTCCGCGCGCACCAGTCGCTAGCTTGCCCGCTAGTTAGACCGCACCTGCGTTTCGTACGTGAACACTTGGAATCACTACATATGTTTGATATTTCGTCACCGCGCCCGCGAGTCAACGTGAACAAGCACTTAGTCCATTTGCAACGCACTACAGAAGCGATGCCAACGCGCTACAACAGCGCGACTGTATCGATGCAAACGCGCGACCGTGTCGGACGACATCGGGGAGAGAACGGAGGGAGGGTTACTGAATCGCGTTTGCATCGCGACAATATTGCGTTTGCATTGCGACAGAAGCGCGTTTATGTGCGCTAGGGCACACAGCTAGCGACCGCATTGCGACTGTATCGATGCGAACACGCAACAGAATCGCTACAGCATCGCTACAAAAAGTCGCCGTGGGCGAGGGGCCTAATACTTAACTTATTCAGGCACGACCTACTTGAGGATCACACTAAATTAAACCTTAACACACTGACCACATGCTTCTATTTACCTGGACGGATTGAGTTCTTCTACTGCGACGGTTTTCATGAAGCTATGCCACGTGAGCTTGACCACGGAGTCGTCGATGTGTTCCAACGCCCACTCCAAGATGTACGGGGCTTCGGACAACTGCTGGAGGTTTACACTGGAATAAAAACATAAAATGTGTGTCACTATATGTTCTTAGCTTAAGTAACACTTAGGTGTAGATTGGGGCAGCAGTGGACGTCATTTGGCTGAAACAAACGAACGAGGCGCATGTAGTCTGCGACTTGCTTATAGTGGTGCGTTTAAAGCCTCAGCCTCGAATTTAGCGGGCAGCGGGGCGGCGGCGGCGGCGGCAGGATCTTATGCGTAAAATCAAATAGACCGGTTCTCGAAAACAGCGGCGCGGGAGCGGACAACGAGCGGGCAGCGCACTCCTTCTTTTGCCCACAATAAATCGAGCGTTAGGAATAAATTTGAATCGAAATAAAATTGTCGCCGTTGTTCAGACATTTCGTTCGCAAATAAAAACAAATATCTCGACAACATAACCCCGAACACAACACTTCGCCGCTAAAGCGCCGCGCGAGCTGCCCGCTTGTTTCAAGAACGGGTCTGCGTTGCCCGCCCCGCTCCCGCGCCGCTGCCCGCTAAATTCGAGGCTGAGGCCTAAAAGGTAGTGTCGACCCAGGGGCGTAGCTACCTCCGTATCTGGTGCAGTCCTGTTGTCCCCCCTGCTTGGTGCACCCCGTATCTTCCGTATCAATGATACGGGGCCCCTGAAATACAGGGGCCCCAGTGGCAGACTTCTTCAAATAGAAAACCTAAGGAAGTTCTGTAATTTTGCAATGTTCATTTTTAGGGTTACGTAGTTTCATTAAAAGGATTCCCTTATGACCTTTTTTTAGATAGGGCCCCTAACAAATTTTTAAACAGGGAGCCCTGTGTCTTAGGCTGCGTTTCCTCCAGAGATGTGCGAGGATGCGTAACGTTGATGCGTTTACCTCGCCTCGGTAACTGAAGCGATTCTATTGGTTCTTTACAAACACATCCGTCGCTACGCATCCTCGCACATCTCTGGTGGAATGCATTTCATAATAGAGATATAGAGAGATGCCAACTAATGCGCTGAGTTCGAAACGGGCATTATAGTAATAAAAGAAATTCACACACACAAAGTAATCAAAATATGTGCTCATTATCCACTGCGGTATCAGTACTCAACGTTAGAATAATCTTTAGTGGAGTACTAAAGCAGCAAGCAATGTAAACTGTTTACATTATTTATGACGTCGCTGCTGTCATCATTACTGTCACGAGCAATGTGTTCTGCTTTTGGGCATATTGCTGCGACACCGGCCCCGCCCCCTTTTCACATCTCCCTTTAGTTTCTGTGATCTGTGGGTGCGACCCATAATATGGCATCAGTCAGTGGCGGGGGCGGGGCTAGTCGTAGGTATATAATCCGGTCGCCGAGTACGAATAATTTTGTCCAATGACTCCAAGCTGTCCATCCTTATCGCTCGCGCGTAATGAGGGTTTTCACGATTGAAAAATCCGCCAGATGGCAATACGTAGACGGGAGGTCCAAATGCTGCATGATTGGTGGATTTTGACATATCTGTCAATGTCATGTCAAAAATAACCAATCATGCAGCATTTGGACCTCGCGTCTACGTATTGCCATCTGGCGGATTTTTCAATCGCGAAAACCCTCATTATATGGCTGTCGCGACTGTGCGACGGGCGGCTGCAGTGATTTGCGCTTGGTTAAGGTTAATTACGCGCGAGCGATAAGGATGGGTAGCTTGGGGCTTGGGGTCATTGGACGAAATTCTAAGTGCTCGGCGACCGGACTATAGTGTGTATTGTGTGATACTATCTTGCAGTGGTGTTAGTCAACTTTTCGTTTAACGTGAATTCCTAGTGTTTTGTGGGGCTAGTGTATGATGTGATTCACATAGAATAGTGTATAGTGTGCGCGTAATGTGCTCACGTGTAGTGGTGTGCGACGGCGGGCGGATAAAGGCGCGCGGAAGGCGAGCGCACGTTGGAGCAGAAGCCGCGCGCGTTGTTAGAGCACTGTAGCATGCCCACGCGCACTTGCGCTAACGGCCGGAGCTAAGGAACAACCAGAAATCAATATTATAAGAACTGCATTTGCTTATTCAAACTGCGTCTCCTACATACAGGGTGACACTGGACATAATTTGTTGCTAACGATCTCTAGTAATACCACAGAATAATAATAAGTACTACGTACAGAAGTTTTACTTCGCGAAGGTATTTAAAAAAATGTATGCTCAATGTCATTAACAATATGGTGTAATTTAGCCTGTCTCAAGAGTCAAGCACCATTTTGTTGACAAACATCAGTGATCGGCACTGCGCCGAAGCTATAGGGCTGACTTCGGTAAAATGATGTGACGTGAGGTGCCAAACTGCGGAAAATGACGGAGGAAACATATGATTTAGCATGAATTATCATGAATAATATTAACTACTTATTTACCTCTCAGTGTCTTGAGGCAACTTAAAAAAGTACATTCTGTGTTTTTATTATTATTTAGGCAGTTAAATACTGCACAGTATTTAGTACACCATTTTCTTTATTTTCTTCCATCATACACAAGAATACGCGTGCGTGAGTCAATGTTCGCTCGTATGTGAGGCCTTGTCGAATAGTATCCTGTAGGTGGGCCATCGTGTGTGTTTTGTTTTCGATGTAAACTCGCGGAGATGAACAGGCCTGGTAATACCCCTTTCAAGGAATAGGTCGAGCATCTGGTCGAATAAGGTATCAGCGTCAAATAGTTCGTAACACCCAATGTAGCCAAAAAGTTCGCAACACTTCTTTGTTACAATTGGAATAAGGTTGTGTTGTCAACTTTTTGACCACTTTGGGTGACACGAACAATTCGACGCTGACTGTACACAGGTATTCTGTGATATTTACCTCATGCGAGTCCCTCTAATGAGGAAATCCGCATGAGAACTACAATAATCGTGATAGCCCGTAGAATTGCCAAACTTAAGTGGCAGAGGGCGGGTCGTATAGCTCGTAAAATCTGCCGATGATAGCCGTTGGGGCAAAAAAGTTCTTGAGTGACGATAGACCGAAAGATATGAACTGTACGCATCTTACTCGGACTGAAGATCTGGTGAAGGTCGCAGAAGGCACCTGGATACGAGCAACGCAAGATCGTTGTGGTTATCCTTTTTGAGGCTTCATCCATCAGGTTGACATCTAGTATAGATCGTTTCATCCACGAAGACGCGCCCCACCAATTTTCGGTCGAGGGAAGCGCGGGGCGCAGGGAGTTTGATCCGAGCAATCCGAGCGTCATTATTGTAGGGTGCGTGTGCACTCATGGATAATTTAGCGTGTACCGATAATTCTCAAACAGTAGCGGAAGAATGATGGGGCGAGTCTTCGTGGATGAAACGATCTATACTCGGCGAATCGACGATCTAGTGAAAGTCACGAGAAGCACGACTTTGACGTATCTTTAGAGGGGTCTGGCCCCTGACGTGGCATGTCCGATAGATGAAAATAAATGAACGCAGAACCGTTGTGGTAATCCTCGGGTATTCGACGTCCTTTGGCTTAAATGATAATGATGGTATACCCTCTGTGCCACGCGGCGCCACTCATGAGCCAACTGTGAACAACCGCGGCCGCAGTGTGCCGGGAAATACGCCACTAGTCAGTGGTTCCGACGCTCGCGGGAGTCCATCACTTTATATTTACGATAATGCATCGATTGATAAACTAAAGTGGTAGTGGACGCGACACAGCAAAAAGTTCTCGAGTAATGAATACCAACTGAAGACGAAGACAGAACGCCTCTCACTCGGTGGACTGAAGATCTGGTGAAGGTCACGGGAAGCACCAGTATAATGAGTAGCACAAGACTGATCCTTGTGGAAATCCTTAGTGGGCCTGTCTACTGCTGGACAGAGGCGCTCCAAGGATTTCTAACCGAAGGGGTGCGATGGTGAGGGACCTCCTGGTGGTGCACCCTGGGCAACGTCCGCGTGGTCTGTTCACGCGGGCGGCTAACTTCTCACCTGCGCGGCAGGTCTCGTCAACTCGGCGGGCCTGTCGGGCAACCCGTAACCCACAATTGAGTGGGCCGGGGGCCGTCGAGGCAATTGCTCGGGCCACGATGCAGGGGACATCTTTAAAAACCCCCACAGGTGGGGGCTGGCGGGGCGTTTGCCCGTGCCCATTCTTTGGAGGGCCGCTCACGGTACTTCTCTGATCAGCAGAGCTGACCGAGCAGCGGCATAGAGCAGACCGTAACCCGCTACGGCGGGCCGGGGGTCCTGTTGTACGAGAGCCGCGAGGAGAAAACCTCAATAAAAACAACTGGAGGAGGGGATTAAAGGTTCCCTCGAAGCCAGAGAGGCTCGCTCACGAGCCTGAGGCGGAGCTGCGGACGAATGTCCAACCAGGACAATAACTCGCGGCTCCGTTTTTAGTGGGTAGGCCCCGCCTTTAGCGGGTAGGCGGGGAGAGTCCCATATAACCCACTGGCCGTTCCCATAGACCAGTTATGCGCAAAGCATTTCCCGACGAAAAAAAAAAGGATTTCTAACCGAAATGATAATATGTGATAATGATATACCTTCTGTGCCACGCGGCGCCACTCGTGCGCCAGCTGCGAGCAGCCGCGGCCGCAGTGTGCCGGGAAATACGCCACCAGCCAGTGGTTCCGGCGCTCGCGGGAGTCCATCACTTCTAGCACTTGCTGCTCGTCCAGCTCCAAGTCTTGGAACGGGAAAACAAACATTACACTAGTGATGCAACGAATACTACTTTTACGAATACGAATATTAAATCTACTATTCGCCGAATACGAATGTCTCTACATAAGGGTTAATACTGGGACGTGTAAAAGTGCTTTTCTAAAGCCTACTTACAGAAATAAATGAGTTTTACTGAGTTTTACTAAAGGCTGATTTACACTTTGATTAGTGTGAGTACTGCAATAAATTTAAGTCATTTTAACACGGTTAATGTTTTAGTAATTAAAAGTTACAAGTGGCATTTTTATTGGTATTGTATCACTTTACTTTGTAACTAATCACAAAACAAAATAATACTTGTACAATCGACCTGCTATTGACTGTCAAATTCCGGAAGAGAACTTGCATTACTACTTTGTTACATATTGACCGGGGTTTCCCGTCATGTCGTTGTGGCTGTAGTGTTCGGAGACACACACACGTGTGTTACAAATTTTAAAAAAAGTAGGTTTTCGTATTCGTTATTATTATTTCACCGAATACGAATATTCGGTAAATGTCTACTATTCGGCGAATACGAATATTCGTATTCGTTGCATCACTACCTACGTTAAACATTAATCAAAATTTTAAGCCAGATTCATATTTATTATTACTGACGGGATTGCTACCATGTACCTTACTTTTGAGTTTCCTATATTTCGGCACTGTTGCAAGCTTCATGGTCACGGAGTAATTGAAGAAACTTGCGGGTGAGATGTTATGGGCAAGACATATCGGTCTACCCTCTTTCGCAGTCTTTTGTTACGGTTGCTTCCCGTCTCCCGTCAGTAATAATAATTATGATAGTGACCATGAAAGTTTAGAACAATAGATTTATATTTGTCTGACCTATTGTGTCGTGTCGTGATAGCGTTTGATGTCGATTAATGTATTAAATAATATTCCGTTCGTTCTGATGCGTCACGACACAACACGTCAGTCAAATATAAATGCGGCCTTACATACGTCAGCTAAGAAAACGAGCGCCAATTAACAAGTTCTCTATCTAGAATTAGACCTCTACAGTTAGTCTATTATTATATTCAAAAGTATGATTCAAGAACTTGATTTGACCAACCTAAGCATAAGACTTTAATTGCTTTAGGACTATTTAATGGCTATACAGGGCGTTAGGTAAATGGGTATATGAGCCGACACTAGCTTGTCGTTGTACTCGTGGCGCTTGGAGCCTTCTTGCAATATTATAACGGGCTGCGATGGCGCCAGTTCGCGGCAATACTTGTCTATGGTCATGCACGCTGATTGTTTTTTTTTTGCAAACTTACCTGATGTTAAGTGATGATCAGGCCGAAGGTGGAAGCGAGCTTCACCCGAAATCCTCAACCACGGAGGAACTGGTTATCTTACCTCTAACTACCGGAACACAACAATGCTGTTAACATTGTTGTTATGGCGACAGACTTAGGTAAGATGGTGGTAGCTAGCTACCTGGCTAGCCAGGCGAACTTGGAACAAGCCCTACCACCAGCCAAACGGAACAGAAAAATCTGTCCCAACTGGGAATCGAACCCGGGACCTCTGCGTCTGAAGCAGGTGGTCTTAATTCTTATTAGATTGTATAAACTTACCGTAACTATAAAAAAAAAAAATAATAAAAAAAAAAATACTTTATTTTTTCACCAAAAACAAATACAATTTGTTAATTACAAATTAATTATTACATTTGTTGGCGCTATTTAGGTGAACTGGAGCCTAACTAACTATAAACTTACCGTAACTATCCAGTATGAGCTGTATAAACTCCGCCAGCCGATGCGCGTCTATCTTGTCGTTGTACTCGTGGCGCTTGGAGCCTTCTTGCAATATTATAACGGGCTGCGATGGCGCCAAATCGCGGCAATACTTGTCTGTGGCCGCTGTACACGCCATTACGCCGAACTGAAGGATACATATAATAGAAAATTAGTCTGCGTCTGTTTGTTTCAATAGGTTACAGTCAATAATGTCTAGTTGTTAAAACTGCCTGATATAAAAAATTAAAACAACTACAGAACTTTACTATTTGCTCAAGATAACTCACAAACTGTTATTATTTTTTCGAGGGGTACATTAAAAACGGTCCAATAAATGCGGTAACATCACTTATAGCGACGGTCGGACAAAGTCTGATACTAGTTAATCGGAACTGAAAACAATTATATGTAGTACGTATCTACACCATCACAAAACAATAGCCACTTAGATCACAATTAAGATTTTGAACTGAATCACATGCACCAATCAATAAAGCACCATGACTCACGCTAATATCTGTATCCAAGAAGTGTAGACTGGTTTGCGTGAAGGGCTCCGCTATGTGTTCCCAGGACAGCCGGTGCGGCACTACTACAAGCAACCACATGCCTGCTTCTGCGAAAGAAAATTAACTTAAATTACATACAATTTCAAGAGTGGCACGGGAGGGTATTTTTTTAACCGCCTCTGTGGTCTAGTGGTAAGACCACCTGCTTCAGACGCAGAGGTCCCGGGTTCGATTCCCAGTGGGGTCAGATTTTTCTGTTCGGTTTGGTTGGTGGTAGGGCTTGTTCTAAGTCCGCCTGGCTAGCTACTACCATCTTACCTAAATTTGTCGCCATAACAATAATGTTAACAGCATTATTGTGTTCCGGCAGTTAGAGGTAAGATAGCCAGTTCCTCCGTAGTTGAGGATTCCGGGTGAAGCTCGCTTCCACCTTCGGCCTGATCGTCACTTACCATCAGGTGAGATACAGGCCAAGAGCTTATTTGAAAATAGAGCATAACGATACAGAGCCGTCATCGGTTAAGCTCTAAAGTGCAAAATCTTTATGATATTCCACAAAACATTTCAGTAAGATCTTTGAAAAAGCGGCGGTCTTTATCGACGCTATACAAAGTTTTACAGATTTTCTAGGTTTTGAAGTAGGTAGTTTTTTCATGAAATAACTATTACCATTTACAAAATACACACATGTATGTACCTACTTCATATTCTGTAAATAAATAAAGTCCGACTAAGAACAGAAGAACATACCTCCATCCAGTATCCGTGTGAACTCAGAAGCAGACAGTGTGTGAAGGTTGACAGCTTCAGAAGCAGTTTGTATGAAGTCCCGTAAGTCCCCGTTGGGCGGGGCAAGCTGGTAAGCCCCGCCCACTTTCATGACGCCCCAAGCGGGGGCATCAGTCACTTGAAGGGAAGCGCATAGCTCGCTCCACTTGTCGCAGTCCATTTCAGCTGTCAAATAAAATAAAGGTGCCATATTTATATACGGACGGTGCCGAAACTTGGAGCCTGAGAAGCCGCGATAACAGTAAGATCGATGCGTTTGAGATGTGGTGTTGGCGGAAATTACTCCGCATACCCTGGACTGCCATGCGAACCAACGAGTCCATATTAAAAGAGCTCAACATCACCACGCGGCTCTCCACTATATGCCTAAAGCGTACCCTCTGTTTCTTTGGACACATGTCATTATGCGGTCTCCAAGGCATTGTCTGGAGAAACAAATTATCTTGGGACAAATGGAAGGTAGACGCGCTCGGGGCAGGGCACCGACGAGATGGTCGGACGCGGCGAGGAAGACGGTGGGCGGGAGTTTGCATCGTGCGGTCCACACAGCTTATGACCGCAGTCTGTGGAGGAACACTATCTGTGGTCGCGATCCTCATCAGTGAGGGACCGAGGAAGAAGAAGAAAATTAAGGTCAAATTCCTTCCACAGTCTTGGCAGATTCTTAAGCAAAATTTATGTTTGAGTAATCATTTGAGCCAATCCAAACTGGTCCTTATGGCACTTGTGTCACGTTTCAAAAGGAATTGAGCCAGATCTTTACTTAAATATTTTTTTAAATAAATGAGTACCTACTTATAACACAACACAATATAATATAAATTATTTTAAAAAATAGTGCGCTAAATTGAGGATGTAGAAGAAATCACATACCAAAATACATTTCAGGAAAGGCCACCCTCATTTGGTACAACTGTAGTCGGTCATGACCTTTGGCTGAGAAATAGATGATCCAAGGCGTTTTTAGAGTAGTTCTAAGACGGTTTCGTAAGTCCTAGAAAAAGAAATAAGAATATAAATAAATTCAAAACACAGCATGATCAATTTTTTCATTGTTTTTTTACTTTAAGTCAAGCGAATAAGGTTGAAAATATGGTGGGAACTATATTCCCAATCGTAAACAAATTGTGACTAACATACCTTGAACTCTTCTGGGCCAATGAGATCAATTTTTGGCAGTGAGCTCACTAGCTCTCTCAATAGCTCCTTTTCTTCGGTGCTCTCTATTTCTTTGGTTATTTCATTGTACCTGAACACAACTGTTGTGCGTTCGTTCTTTGTTAGCTGCTCCCGGAGATTTTCGTCTTCTACGATGACCAAATTGATTAAATTGTTCTGAAAGATGAATAGAAATAAATTAATTGCGAAAGAAACTTGTCTAAATGTAGATAATAAGATTAGGAGCTTCATCAGAGGGAGGTCTTTCAGCAAAAAAATATTCAATAGATACAGATTTATCAGAGATGGATGTTCAATCTATAAAAAAGAACTAGCCATTTATGGACTATCCTATTATAAGAGATACAATAGCAATATTATTTAGATAAGATAGATATAAGATAAGAGAGCCAATGAAATTATTTCTAAAATGTAGAAAGGATCAGCCGACCTAGGATGCGAGCCGCGATAAACTTTTATCGAGGCGTTTAATTCATTTTCCAAGATAAGCCCATATACTTATTTGTCGTCTGGAATCGTCGATAAGATTTTATCACAGCGCGCATCCAAGCCCAGCTGAATGGAGTATACTTTACCAAGTGGAACGCGACTCGACTCAGCACAGCCCGCTCGATCCGATTTGCTCCGAGTACGTAAGCCATGGGCTTGTCGTTCCTTAGCCGGTGGACTATCGGCACGTGCACGCGAGTGTTTAGATACGACATCAGGAACTGGTCTAATGGCGCACATCTTAAGCTAGCTGATAGAAGTATACTTTACCAAGTGGAACGCGACTCGGCTCAGCACAGCCCTCTCAATCCTGTTGGCTCCGAGTACGTAAGCCATCGGCTTGTCGTTCCTGAGTCGGTGGACTATCGGCACGTGCACGCGAGTGTTTAGATACGACATCAGGAACTGGTCGAGGGCATCCAGGGTGCGCTCGCCGCGGTAATGCACGAAGTTACCTCGTCTTCCCTGTGGTGTAACAGTGGGTGAAAAAATATTAAGGATTTCATTATGGAGCAGGAAAAAATAGGTTCTAAGACATTTTCGCGCCAACATTACCTGCCTAATTCACGTATTTTGACAGTCAGATCTCGCTGACATGACGTTCAGAAGTCGTCCCATTGAAAAACAGTTCTAAATCCATATTCATAAGGGTCAATTCGATAGAACGATTACTCGATAGGATAGCAACTCAGCGATTTGTTGTCATTGAAGTTTTGTTACGTGAATAAGGCTACTGTCTCACCTCAACATCTAATATTTGAGGTGAGACAGGAAATGTTGGTGTGAAAACATCTGCATAAAATCTTTTAAGTCAAATTCTTACAAGCAAGTAATGTACATTTTATGTATGCTTACTTAGTTGGTGCTAACATAAGCTGACAATGAATTTACTGAATAATGTATCTAGTTGTTTGAATAAATCTATATTTGATTGCAAAGTAATTTAAAAGATACTGAGGTAGTTAAATATCAGTTAGAGTTTATTTTTATCAACAATTACAAAATTTACAGTTAATTGTTTGGACATAACTTCATAATCACATAACAGGATGTTAAGGAAATAGCTATCTATAAAATTCAACAAAGCTTACAACATTACTGGTAAACACTTACATTAGGGTAAAACAGTAACGAAGGGTAGCTGGCGATTCTCATAGAGTTGTAACAAAAAGAGTTATGGTATTTGCAGTTGACCGCACCAACTTTAACCTGCAATAATCAAAGTATAAGTAAGTAAGCATTTATTTGCTGCACACAAAGTCACATACAAAGTTCAACAAGAATACACAATTCAAAATTTAACATGCACATTCAAAATAAAAAATAAAATAAATAACAATTAGAAATGAAATAATGTGAGCAGAGTTGCGGCAGCAAAAGGTCTCCGTCTCAGCATGTGTCGCAAGCTAATGCCTGGACGCTGATTTTCAGACGGCGGCCGACGAAAGTGGAGAGCGGCGGTAATCGCCGCAGCAATTCGCAAGGGCATCAATCAGGCCAAGAGCTTTCTCGTTGTGGAAAAAAAAATCTAATCAAGAAAAAACAAAAATGAGGCAGTAAAGCTTCAACCAAATCAATGTGTCTATCACCAGCGCGATCTACATGCTTTGGTGTGGTTGAAGCATAACAGAGTATTATTAGTGACAACTTACAATTCCCTTGTATATTTCAGCCAACTTTTTCCAATGCTCCACTAAGTTTTGGCATGGCGGGCAAAAGGGTGAATAGAAGTTGATAAAATGAAATCCTTCATTTAGATAGCTGTCTGAAAAGTCGACAAATAAAAATGCGTTTAATTTGTGAAATAGATTAGAGATGAAACGGATAGTTGTTTGGCCGGATACCGGATACCGGATATCCGGCCAGCTGCTAGGCCGGATAGCCGGATATCCGGCGGCCGGATAGTTGGCCCATTGTCTCGTTTCATGTCGTGACGAGTTTAGCGCCGCACAGGTGCTTCGAACGCGATCAGTGGGTCTATTAGCAGAATAGACTAGTCACACTTTTCGAAAATCGAATCTGTCCGAATAGAATGTCAGAGTTTGCCACTTGTCTAGGGGGCAGATCAATTCGAGCGATTTCGGTTGCTATATCGTGAGTGTGTGATTGAATAGCGAAAATTAAATTAGTTTACTTGCTGCGTAATCTGACTGAACTGCATGCATCATGTCATCAAACCATCAGTGAAAAAAAGATTGCCTTGTTATTTGGCAATATTTCGACATTAACAGATATTATTTACTACAGGGTGGCCCAGAAATTCACTTTTGAAAATTCAATGAAACGAAAACTGTACATTTTTGTAGAAGTTTAACTATTGCAATTTAGTGCAATTTATTTTAAAATTTACTTCCTTTTATAAATTTTATCGTACATGTAATTCCCTTGACGTTTACAACATTCGGTCAACATACATCAAAATGTTGGAAAACTTTCGTTAGAGTTACCTCGAAATGGATTCAGGATGGATGAATGCTGTAGAGTTTTTGGATTATTAGATTATGTATACCCTGCTCATAAGGTAACCCCGCAAAAAGAAGTCTGCTGGAATGAGATTAGCGCTTCTTAGAGGCAGTGAGATTTCATCCCTGCTTAATTGGTTTGTTGCATTGAAAGGATGATTAATTTTTGAGAATGCTATACTGGTAGGCTGAAAAGCTTTTTGATTTTTAAAGCTGCAAGATTCGCAAGGCCGGAGCACTTGGTTTCACCAAGATGGGGCTACGTGTCACACTTCAAATGAGAGCATTTAGATGGTAAGAGACATGTTCCCACAAAAAAATAATTTCAGACAGGGGTGACATCTCCTGGCCACCCTGAAGCCCTGATCTCACTCCAGAAAATTCTTTTTTGTGGTGTTACATTAAGAATAGAGTATACTTTTATAATCCAACAAACATGCAGCAACTGAAGCTGAGCATTCGATAAAAAATTGAAAATAGGTTTCGAGGTAATTCTAACGAATGCATTTCAAGATTTTGATGTATGTTGATCGAACGTTGTAAGCGTAAAGGAAATCTCCTGGGCGATGTAATTTAATAAACGTAAATTTAAAAATAAATTGCATAAAATTTCCTTCAAATTGAAATAGTTAAAGTTCTATAAAAATGTACAGTTTTCGTTTCCTTCAATTTTCAAAAGTGAATTTTCTTCTAGGCCACCCTGTATTTATGTATTTGTCATTAGAGTGAATAGCCCAGAAAAATAAATTAGTTTTTTGAAAGGCTTTTTGAAGAATGGCTTTTTTGTAAATTTTTGGACTTTAAATAAAAGCCGTCATTATTATAAGCCATTTTATTGATATTTACCTCAAAGATTAATGTATTACATTTTATTAATAGGAAATTGTCGTAGTTTTTTAATATCCGGTATCCGGCCGGATAGTGAGTTACTATCCGGTATCCGGCCGGATAGTAAAATTAGGCCGGATATCCGGCCTACCGGATAGTTGCCGGATATCCGTTTCATCTCTAAAATAGATCCCATCAACACAGAAAAATTATTTACCAAACAAGCAGTATTTTCATGCGTTTTTATACAATAATAGGTTCTCAAACAAACTTCAAGCCTTTGTTTTTGAAAAATTCTGTATAATTAGCAAATGTAATTAAATAAAACATGTTTTAATTTTCAGCTTACTAGTTTTTAGGTCTAATGAATAGGCACAGGTTAATTTAAAGAGGCCAAGCATAATTGGGTAAAGATTACAGTATGAAATTAGGTTTCTCACAAAATTACTCAAAACAAATTAGTCATACTCACAAAATGTTTGGCCTGTCAGGGTGTCCACAAATGGGTCACCATGGTACAGACCATTATAGAATAAATTATTGTATTCTGACTCTGAGCGATGGTCATATCTTCTTGTAAATGAAGAAAATGATCCAAAGAGATCATAATTTCGTCTTTTTTGTGGATCTTTTAACGTTTCATAAGCTTCTGTGATTTCTAAAAACTTCTCTTCTTCACCAATATTCTAAAAATAGCAATAAATTGTATGTTACAATTTGAAGATCAATATTAATCTCTATGAAACTATAATGTCGACTTTATGCAATTTATATCTGATAATAGAGAATACTTACAGAATTTTTGTCAGGATGAAACTTTACAGCTAATTTCTTGTAAGCCTGCCTTATTTCTTGAGTAGAAGCTTGCTTAGACACACCAAGTACTTCATAATAGCTAACTTCACTTAGGTTAACCACTTCTAGTATTAGAAAACCTATCAATATTAGTTTGTACCTGCAAAATAATCTATTAGTAGAATAACAACGATCTAATTGTAAAAACACTTGCTTAACAGTTAAAAAACTTACATTTTTAATAGATAAGCCGGTGATATGCTTCCCAGAGTTACGAGCAACTTTGAGTTTGTATCTCGAAAGAGTATCACCACATACTCTTGTCTAATCTGTGACACACTTTTATTTAACTATTATTAATTACTTTAAATGGACCATCTGTTATGATAAGGCACATTTGTTTACTTTTTGTGTGGGTGTTGAGTTATAAAATGCATCATGCATGCAGTCCAGTACTGAGTTTGACAGTTTTGACACTGACAGTTTCATGATAGGGATGTCTGAAAGTGTTGTCGATAAAATATAGCAGTTCATTCATTCAGGGCGTGATGAAAATATTTTGTCAATAATTTATTAACGTTATAGGTTATTCGGAAGGAAGAGGGATTTGAACCCCAAGTCTTTCACTTGCCAAATGACTGAGCAAAACCTCGTTTGATTCGATGCGTAACGTAAAATCGTACTGGGCAATGTTTAAATACATAGCGTAACGTTAAAATGCTACATTTTAAATGTACTAATGACATACGATGCGACTTAACTACAACAAAACACAATTAATGGAAATGGGGCAAACCTAAGATAGTATACCTAGTAGATATCGAGACAATACTGCATTACATCCCTTTTTAATTTTCTGATGTTGGCAGCAATGTGACGTTTAGTGTCTTTTTTTTTGTTCCTTCTTCTATAACAAAGGCAAAGGCATTTTACCATACAGCTAAGTTTTAAACTTTTTTTAACTCTTCATAATAATTGAAGATTTTTGACCTAGATAAAAACTGTGGTAATTTTTTTGTAGGTATAGCCTGATCAGGAACATAAAAACCCTGACATAGAGGCGCGTCAATCGCATTTGATAGTGCAACACTGAGTACAGTCGTACATGTGTTAAATTAATAGGCTAAATTTATGTATCAGGATTCAGGATTACGGGCTAATTTGATATTTTCATAAATTAACGAAAAAATATTATTGATGGTTTCATTTAATTTATTTAAACCAGGTTATGGTTTAAATGAATTAAATGAAACCATCAATCGAGCTACTAGGATTTATTTTATTATTCATCAATAATCAAATTCAGAACTTGAATATTCAACTGCAATGTCTGCTCATGAACGCTTCAAACTCGGTACTTCTTTCCCAATTCCATAAAATTCAAAACTTAGAAAGTGACAAAAAACTTTAAAATAGGTAATTGAAACAGACTACAGCTAATTTTCATAGTGGACTGTACTATACGATAAACATGTCAGTCAATTTGACAACCTTTGTCGGAAACATTATTCAATGAAAATATTGTCCGAACCCTTAGTATTTCTCTTCGACAAATACATTAACACATCGTGAACCACTTTTCTTTCACGACTATAAAAATATTTTAGCAATTTAATTCACAAAATCAATTGCACACATTTAAAATAAAGTTTGTTTACACTTTGACAACAATAGACTGACATGCAAGGTGACATGTCAATGAAGTTTTCAGTTACTGTTGCCATTAAAAGAAATTAGTACCATTAGTTTTCCGCAACATGGCGAGGGTTTTTATGTTCCTGGTCAGGCTATATATAAAATAGATTTCAAAGATACCAAATTGGAAAAGTAGGAGGAAAGGGGAGGGTGTGTTGTTGAGGTGGGAAATCCATTAGGCTGTAGCGACTTATTTCTTATAAGTCGCTACAGCCTAATGGAATGCAAAACCTTGCAGAACATTCATTGTTGGAGAACATTATTAAGCTTTATTTTCCCGCCAGGAAGTCTCTTTCATTTTTATTATTCATTTTGGTATATTGTTTTGTTATAAATAAAACACATTTATTCCGTAAATCAAATTTTATATCACAGAAACCTTAATTGACTACTTACAGTTATTTAAAACATATTATTCAAATTAGATCATATAAAACATGGCAAGAAATGTGTATTTTCCAGGCAATGTATCAACTTCCTTAGATAGGTATTTATTGGTTCACAAGCTGTTGGCTAAATTATGATAAATTAAATATTACTTTGAGCAGCTAACGCAGTTCCCGACTGCTTTTAGTATTTATAAAATGTATGTATATGTATGAGAAGGAGTCTCACCTCACCTTATCCTCTGGTAAATTGCCCTTAGGCTTGCGTATTACCACATTAAGGTTAATTAAAACACAGCCTTAAAACATGTGTAAAATAGTAAAGCAAACATAGTGAAAATAGTTTTCCGGCGATGATGTGACAGTACCAAAATTAGGTATTTATTTCATACAAATAAGTCGCTAATTTAATGGAATGGAAAAGAAAATGGTATTCAAAAGTCGCCTTTTTCTCCACCTACATATACTTAGTACCTACCTACAATAGCAAACAATTCATAAAGTATTTACAATATAATGGAGACCAAAACTAAACACGAGATACCCTAATACAATAATGTTCTTTTAAAATACTGAATTAGATTCGTAAAATCTGAGGAAATAAAAAAGTGGTACCTAGCAACTTAGACTGAACCGTGTTGTTCTTTGTATTAACTTTGTCATCATCACATCATCGCATCGTAGAGAAAACGCAATTCAAATCAAAACTTAAATTCAAGGTCTGTTCATAAACGATTAACTACTATCACCTCGTTAAGACATCTAATTGGTTATAAACTTATTCCTTAACTAATAACATAACGATAACATGTGCGAAATAATACCAATTACACAATTTATCTTGATTTAACCTCGACATCTGTCATGGAAATACAATTTATTTTAAAGACAACTAGCTTATAAATAATATTTGTTTGTACTAAAATATTATTTAGAATAGAGGTAGGAATAACATAATATATTTACAATAAATAAGTCTTTTATAAGTATTCTCCATCCATCACCATGCACAGATATGAATGCTTAGATCATAAAGGCATAAACAGTCACCAGTACATCAGACTATGCATTTTGTGGCAAAATAACACTTAATATAACTGAATAAGATACCACTAACTTAATGTGCCGTCGTCCATACTTTGATCATCATCATCATCACACATTTCAACCACAGGACGTCCACTGCTGAACATAGGCCTCCCCCAATGACTTCCACATCGCACGGTTGGTAGCGACCTGCATCCAGCGCCTTCAGGAAGGCCATACTTTCGAGCGACCGGGAAAATTAAATATAACTTAAAAGACTACCCTGGCTTCTAGTGTGTTGCTATTTTATAATACAAGTCTTTATTTTAACTTCCTTACGCGTTTTTCTTTGGATATTAATATAAAATTGACAAACTTTACGTGACATAGAAACAGCCTAAGGTATATGTTTGAACTTTACACCCTTTAAACTCCTCTTTTAAATACCAAGTCACAGAAATCAATTTTTGACTACGTTCTAACCAAGTTAAGGCACTTATAAGGCTCATTAGGTCATCAATACGTCTACTTAAACTAAACGGCTTCTCAGCAATGACTGTACAGTTTCTTACCGAAGCACACAACAATTTATCAAATTACACTAGTAATTACAGGTTGTTTTACCTAAGAAGACCGTTTCACAGTTCGTTTAAGAGTCATGTATGCGATTATCCTTATAACGACGATCTCTGCGAAAAGAATCCCGATGTTCGTCCAGTAGTTGTCACTTTTAAGGCTGAACTCTTTTATGATCTCTGAAGGATATCTGAAAATCAAATTCAAATTTTTTATTCAAGCTGAAATTACTAAAATTTTGTTAATTATAACGCTATCGCGCAATAATAAAATCTGGGAGGCAAAGAAGACAGAATATTATGCCCGTTTTCACCATCAATCCCTAATTTTTAAGTGACCCCTATGGTAACACTACACATAACAGGATTTTTTTTATAGGGGTTACTTAAAAATTAGGGATTGATGGTGAAAACGGGCATAAGTTTGTGATTAAATAAGGGTTCCTTGTCAGGACTACGGAACCCTAAAAAAATTGGCTAAAACACCATTAAGCTACACGTAGCATGTTCCCATTCGTAGCGTGAATGGAACTCGTAGCGAACCCCGTAGCCACTAAGGAATCTGTAGCAGTTCCCGTAGCGTAGCATTTAAAACTCTCGTAGCAGAACAAGTGTAGTTCTTTCTTAATCCGGTCATACTACGAGTTCTCGTAGTCGTCTATGGCTCAATGAGGATTTTCGCGATTGAAAAATCCGCCAGATGGCAATACGTAGACGCGAGGTCCAAATGCTGCATGATTGGTGGATTTTGACATATCTGTCAATGTCATGTCAAAAATAACCAATAATGCAGCATTTGGACCTCGCGTCTACGTATTGCCATCTGGCGGATTTTTCAATCGCGAAAATCCTCATTTGATCATATTTTTAGGGACGAAAAATCATATTTTTTCGAACAGCAATGTCCTAATGAAACCGGGAACGAATACAAACTGATTTTACACTATGTATATGCGAGAGTGAGAATCTTTGAGTGATATAGTCTAAGTTTACCGAAATACAAAGGCGTTAAAATATTTGTACTAGTATCTTGTCTATCCTTACCTCGTATGGCAGTAGGGCTTATCCTCTGGACAGGGCAGCTTTTGCCGGCCTCCCGAGTACAGAGTCAGGACAAGCGCTTCGAAGGCGTATCTCATGAAGGAACCGTAGGAAACAATGCGCATGGTGGGACTCATGTGAGCGAATAACACTAGGAAGCCCGCGAACACAATCATCGCGCACGTCGTTATAGCGCCGAGGAATGTGCCGTTCTGGAACAAACAATTGTTTGTTATCCCAAATAAAATAAAATAAATAAATAAACAAGTTCTTTTTTAGGAACCACTTTGAGTTCAAAAGCATTACTTCAACTTGCGATCGATGAGTCAATTTCCAACACTTCTCTTCGTCGTATTTCAACCAATTTATACAAAAATTTACAAAATATATACCTAGGTATGTAAATCTTCGTCATGTTACAAATTTTTTGTTGAAGATCGCATGAAAACCCGTTCAAACGTGGCGGAGGACTTTGCAAAAGTTATTTCATATTGTTACTGACTGTACCTACTGACTAGAAGTGGCGCAGTTTTTGTGTAGGTACTTATCCAGGAAATGGCTGCTGTGTTTACTATAATTGATGTAATGTACGAGATGACATGATTATCGTACATCGTACCTAATCACTAATGTCTGACATTGTCGGCCTCACGTGTCTGATGGCACACGATCGCGTGGGTGATAAAGCGAGTTAAACATTTGTGATTTTATTTATTTATCGTTTATAGCAGATCTAACAATTTTCTCTACATGAAATCTGGCCGGCTTGTGCCAAATCTGGCCAGCTGGCGAGTACAAAAGTAGAATAAAAAATGTAGTTTGTAGGGTAACTTACGACAGGATTGACGCAGGTCCCGATGACGTTCCCGATAGCGTCAGCCAGCAGCGTCACGTTAGCTAACACCATCACGAACATCAGGAACCGGGAGAAGTCCACCGGCTGGCCTGTCAGGAAGTACGACGGAGCTGAGTACACGAAACTGTACCATATCTGGAACAAATTAATTGATTTATCTATCTTTAGAAAATTTTGCACAGCCCAGCACCATTTAGCACCAAACTAAGGAAAGAAAAGAAACATTTATTGCGAAGAACATCACACTTAAAGGACATAAAAGTAGGGCATGAAGAAAAAAGTGTGCTGAGCAGTGTACTAGCGAAGCCCATTGCAATGGGTCATTCAGCATATTTATGCCACGTGGTCCACGGTGAGGGATTGACGAAGGCCACGAACCACGAAGCTTGTTTCAGTGTACCCCATTGAGATACCTAAACGTACATAACCACTAGTACCTACCAGATAAAATATGTTTATTAGCTTTTGCCCGCGGCTTCACCCGCGTGAAATTTAGTGCCACAGATTCGCATAAATTATAGCCTATATGTTAATCTGGGTTACAAATAATAATGCTGTAAAGTTTAAACCAAATCCGTTCAGTAGTTTTTGCGTGAAAGAGTAACAAACATCCACACAAACTTTCGCCTTTATAATATTAGTAGGATGTATAGTTTAAACTAGGTATATGGCATGCATTTATTACGTTTAAGGCCAGGTAATTTCTACTAAAGTAGGAAAAAGAGTCAACAAAGAGTCCTGTGGAATGCCACTCGACTGACCGGTGCCATCTTTCCAGAATTCGGCCGAGGCGAACAGCAACGTTCTTTTCGAACTAAAAACAGGTTGACGAATTTGCATTACTCGATGGATCTTTACGAAAGATGTTTACCTACTTACTACCTATTACCTAGGTACAGACGACGGCTCATCAGACTATAAATGTTTGTTGCAAACTAGCCTGTATTACAATGAGATAAGACGCCAGTGCGTTCAGCTTGATACAACAGCATATCAACTGTCCTCAATAAAGTGAAGTAGTCAAATGACAGTTTGATAGGCAATCCTTGGGTTAGTGTCTTGGGAAATTAAACGGAGTGTGAAAAAGTCATAAAAATTTAAGTCTGCTTTGGTTGGAACACTTAAATGTTGAGTTGCTTAGTGTGGATGTGGAATAGGCAAACGGACAGACAGACCCACAGGAAATGTTAGAAGTTAAATTGTTTGTGCTACCTTTTCATAACAGAAACAATTGAAATCTCATCTAATCACCTGGTATAATAGACTCATTGTTACGCTTTAATGTTAGATCCTGGTTGATTATTATTTACGAGACCTAGTTATCTACAGGAAATTGTTGCTACATTAACCAATCGCGTGTATTTTATAGAAAAATCAGTAATTGGCGATGCTAATTCCAAGAAAACCAGTCGGTTTAGATGCCTATTGCGAAAAGTATAATTTCCTGTAGGTAAATGTGTAACTACACCGGTTTTCGGTCAGATTTTTAGAACCAACTCATATGTTGTAATATTAATAATTTTTATCCTGGAGGGAAATGTTTCCAAGACCCTAATTTTCACTTTCGCAAGCTTCAATCTTAGTATCTGGTGAGAAATAGTGCTTTTATTTAGAAAATTACCTATACCTAAGATTAAGCACCGTTAGCCACATCTTGGGGTGGGTACTAGACCTTTTTGGGTGGATCATGCTTAGTAACCATGGATTTGAAGTAAGTTTAAAAACATAATAGCTAGGTCAATATGGAAACAAATATTAAAAGTAAGTTACCTGCATAGGGATGCCCGTGACGAGTATTGCCGCGTAGTACGTCTTCAAGTTGTACCAGTTATTGAAGTTTTCTTTCTTCAACACCGGCAGTTCGGAGGGAACTGTAGGAAAATGATAAAAATTTAGTGAGGTTGTTCTAATTTAATTGACTAAATATTAAATATCCTTAGACTTTTTACACTGCGCTTCTAGTCCCAAACTAAGCAAAGCTTGTACTATGGGTACTAGACAACGGATATAAACATACTTAAATACTTTTTTTTTGTAAATACATACTTATTATACATAGAAAACACCCAGTCCAATACAAACAAATATGTTCATGCACACAAATGTTTGTACTGTGCAGGAATCGAACCCGCTACCTCCGGAATAGTAGTCCGTTTCGAACCACTACACCAAACGGCCGACAATAAAGAAAAGACGACTAAAGGGAGACAGAAAATCAATCAGACTGTAAATTGTTAAATTGCAAAATTATAGCACCCATCTCTGTATACCTACGTTTCTGGAATAGATTGTCAAGCTATTAACAAAAGGCTGTATTGACAAAAATAGAAATAAGCCAATTTCGTTTATTTCATATTTTTTATAATGAACTTAATCATTGTCAACCCTATTGCTATAATACCTACTCGTATTAGGATAGAGTGGATAAATACTTACCTATAAAAGTATGATTTTATACTAGACTGACTAGATGTTCATAAGTAACTGCAAATTATTCTGTACACTTACAGTGAATTATACTTTCAATTGCAGTAACTGCTTACATACCTCAATTAAAACTATTTTAATTAAATACCTTGGCAGTTCTCACGCAACAATGTAATCAAGGAAACCTTAGTACAACTTAATTTGTCGTGTTAACCATATTAAATCTAAATTGTATTAAATAGGGTCGGTGTAATCATACTGTATACATTATAGTAGTTATTAACTTATTTTTAACGTTACGTGTATTATTATTAAGTTCCTGAGTGTGTTGTTACCTGAATAATTAGGGTAAATTGCAGAAACAAAGGGTTATTTCTGTAAATAATTTAAATTGCAAAAAAATACAAATTGCGACAAGTAACATAAAATTAGGTAATTAGTTTATTTTGTACAAAATACTCGACAGGAAACAGTAATTGAAGAATTATGGACCATAAAGATCTTTTATGTTTTGTCAGTTAATTTTGCAAAACAAAACCGGTTGCATTAAGGGTTAAGAAAAAAAGTTTACAAAAGATAATTTTCAGTTCCAAGAACTTTATAATAATACCTACATAGCTGGGCACCGTTAATCAAATAGTTAACTTCGTTAATCGTTAATCCGTTACTAAAAAAATTAACTTCGTTAAACGTTAAAACGTTACATTTCGGAAGATTTAACGCAAGTTAACGTTAATCGTTAATCCGTTAACATGTGATATTAAGACGAATAAAATACCAATAAATTCGAAAGCTTGTATCCTCTGTAGAATTTATTCCTCTTTTATGTTTGCGCTACAAGCTTTCCAAATTGTCTGAACCTTGCATAATATAAATTGTGGATTTTTAACTTCTTAATTAAGAAAATAAAAATCTAAAAAAAACATATGATGAACATTACTATAAAAACTACCAACGAAAATTGTTTTGAACGAGATCTAGTAAGTAGTTTTTTTTTATTACCTCGTAAATCGTAAACCGCTTACCTATTACCGCGTAATCTTTCATACAAATAACTTAAATTAAAAAAAATATATTAATCAATGGTACGGAACCCTTTGTGCGTGAGTCCGACACGTACTAGGCCGGTTTTTTTTTCGTTTTAGTACAACTGCATTTCAGAATAAAAGCTTGTTTTTAAAAAAGTTTTTTAAATTATAATTTTATTATACAAGACAAATCCAACAAACCCAAACTCGATAAATTTCCTCCGTTTCGTTTAGGAATTCCTATGGCCACCTCCTCTCCATCATCAGGACCCTGGAAATCATCTAGTACTAAAGTGCTCAAAAAGATAAATCCAACGAACCCAAATTCGATGCGATTCCGCCGTTTCATTTAGGAGTTTCTATGACCGCCTCCTGACTCCATCATCAGACCAGTTCAATGGTACCATAACTGTAGGCGATGTAGGTCGATGGGTGAACGTAGGTGATAAGATGAAATGAAAAGTCTAGGTAGGAATATTGAAAATGCGGCGCGTCCGGGTGTGCGCACAATTACGTTCGCAGATTACGAGAGTNTTGAGAACTGTGGTGGAATTGTGTAAAGCAATCGTAATCATTTGACAGTTCATAACGTACGATAAAGTCAGTTATACAAAGCGTTTGACAGAATAATCGTACGTTATGAACTGTCAAATTATAATGAATGCTTTACACAATTCCACCTCTGGTCTTAAATTCAGTTGTAAATAAATAAAAAAATGCATTTTAATATATCGTTGCGTTAGTGATCTGATTACAAAAACTGTTGCTTTGGGTTCTGGAAGTTCTGGAAGCCCGAACGTACTTGTCAGAACGCGTTTTTCAGCGTGCCTGCTGTATCTTTTTGATAAATAGTAGGTACTGGATTAACGATTAACGGACTTAGGATACTTTAACGGAAGTTAACGAGTCCGTTAACAATTTTTAAAGCTAACTTAAAAGTTAATCCGTTAATAGAAATGTTAACTTCGTTAATTAACGATTAACGGATTAACGAGTTAATGCCCAGCTATGAATACCTAATAAATTTATCATACCTGGAAGTTGGGATAAATATGCAGTGTTTATCGATAACCTAGCCATCTAGCTTCCTTAGATAGCCTCTAACTTTAGGTTCAAGAAATAAAGCGGCTTTAGTAAATTATCACCTACCAGTTCCGGAAGGAACGTGCACAAATATGCGCTAAATAAAACAATAAAATCATTAAAATTTTTGCCTTTTTGTCTTTAGGATTCTACGCGGTGGTATTACCTACTGAAAACCTAATGTACGCGATTAAAAAAAAGTGCATAGCCTGAAGAACTGTCAGAAAACAAATGGGACAGGAAGATTCTGGAATAGAAACCACGCATCGGCAAGCGCAGCGTGAGACGTCCACCCACGAGGTGCACAAATTACCTCATAGAGGTTAAAAGAAGTCGTTGGATACAGGCCGCTACCAACAGGCCAATCGCAAAGGCCTATGTTCAGACGTCCTGTGTGATCACTTACATTTGAGAACAGTCGGCATTAGAGACGTGTAGCAGAGGTAGGCCATCGACACAATGAGGTAGCCGAGGTTGCTGATGGTCTTGGAGCCGGAGGAGCCGGAGGAGATGTTTTTGTCGCCTGCTAAGCTGCAGCCTGACATATGTATATTTACATTGTTTACTAATGGTACTTACACTTGAGTACGGCTGGCATTAGATACGTGTAGCAGAGGTAGGCCACCGAGACTATGAGGTAGCCGAGGTTGCTGATGGTCTTGGAGCCGTAGTTGAAGGCCTGCTGAGTTCAAACCTTACATATACATATTCTTATTTAAACTGCTGCTACTTACACTTGAGTACGGCTGGCATTAGAGACATGTAGCAGAGGTAGGCCACCGATAAAATGAAGTAGCCGAAGTTGCTGATGGTCTTGGAGCCGTCGTTGAAGGCCTGCCGAGTTCAAACCCTACCTATACATATTCTTATTTAAACTGCTGCTACTTACACTTGAGTACGGCTGGCATTAGCGACGTGTAGCAGAGGTAGGCCACCGAGACTATGAGGTAGCCGAGGTTGCTGATGGTCTTGGAGCCGTAGTTGAAGGCCTGCTGAGTTCAAACCTTACATATACATATTCTTATTTAAACTGCTGCTACTTACACTTGAGTACGGCTGGCATTAGAGACATGTAGCAGAGGTAGGCCACCGATAAAATGAAGTAGCCGAAGTTGCTGATGGTCTTGGAGCCGTCGTTGAAGGCCTGCCGAGTTCAAACCCTACCTATACATATTCTTATTTAAACTGCTGCTACTTACACTTGAGTACGGCTGGCATTAGCGACGTGTAGCAGAGGTAGGCCACCGAGACTGAGGTAGCCGAGGTTGCTGATGGTCTTGGGAGCCGTCGTTGCCGGCTGCTAAGCTGCAGCCTTACATATACACTGTCTACTAAAGGTACTTACATTTGAGCACGGCTGGCATTAAAGACGTGTAGCAGAGGTAGGCCACCGAGACTATGAGGTAGCCGAGGTTGCTGATGGTCTTGGAGCCGTCGTTGCCAGCCTGCTCGAAGAGAAGCCCCAGGATCACCCCAATCACTATATGCAGCAACACTTTTAGGTGAGTTACTGTCTGCCAAATAATAAGAGGACGTTAGAGAGGAATATTATTAAAATCAATTTAAATAAATTTAACATGCAACGCTTGTAATTCATTTATTAATTTTATCAATGACTATTGACTATCTTTCATCATCCTTATCAAGTCATTCATGCCCGTTTTCACCATCAATTCCTAATTTTTGAGCGACCCCTATGGTAACACATAACATTTTTGCAACATGTTAACATTAACATTGTTTTCATAGGGGTCACTTAAAAATTAGGGATTGATGGTGAAAACGGGCATTAGTCTCTCAGGAGAACAACCAGCTCTAATAACCTACACTCCACACAAATTGGGGAGGGGCGAGGGGATGTTGGCTATCATAGATTTATTAACCTATCTGCACTGGTTTTTTTTAACTTAGGGTGGATTCGACCAAACAAAAGTAAATATTTATCCCCGAATAAATCTTCAGTTATTAGACATTTTGACATATTTCCCATACTGAAACTGTCAGTGTGCCAGTTATACCAGGAGTTATTCTCGGGTAAAAGTTTGGTCGAATCGGGCCTTAGTAGAAAAGAAAACTCACCCAATCCCTATACTGCTGTATAAGACACCGTCGAAACAGGATTCCGAATTTGTAAAGCTCGTGAGGAGGGTTGACCACTATGGATATCTTGCCGCAGTGGAAGGAATCCACTTTGCCATTAGGAAGCGGCTCCGGTGGCGCCACCTTCGCCCCCCAATCCTGACTCGTGCACTTTTCAGCTAGGAATTCGTTGAACTTGCCGTATTCGCCATTCGCGATTTCTAAAACTGGGATAAAGTTTATCGTTAGACAATTATTTTTAGTTAATTTAACTAAAAATAATTAGATAACAATTAATTTAATTGGTTTGAGAAACTTGTTCGTGTACGGGCAATAAATGAAGATCGATCAGAACAAAATAATAGAGTAGGTACAGTGAGTTGTACGGTTTATTGACAAGAGTTACGACCACTAAGCGAGCATCGCTCAGCAAATATTCTACTTAATAGCTCTTGCCTGTGACAAGAGGTTTGGAGAGAGTCTGAACTTTATCGACATCGGGACTATTCTCACTTCTCGTTCCCACCACTGCAACTCCTGTGTAGCCGATCTACAGATTGACCGCCAATAAAAACCCAACCAGTGAAGGTCAAGTTTGTCCCAGGGGAAAGTTAAACTATCATTGGACCCGTAACGAAATTATTCAGAAGAACATAGGAGGAGAACTCTATCGATAAGGGATCTTATCTATAGTATGCTTCTTGAGGGAGAATAAAGAGAGGGAGTAATGTAGAGTAGGTAGTGGCTTTCTCTTCGCCGGTGGACCAAGTGCCTTCAAACATAGAGCCTTTGACAAATAGTGGGCTTCAGAGTGCCCGACCGTTCTACCGTTTTACAGATGCTTTGCTATCATAAATGTATGTGTAAATAAATTATTACTTACTATAGTCGGCGGGATTGTGGTACTTTGGACATTGTAGGCCTACGGACGCGAGGTACGGAACCGTGTTTGAGCTGGATCCGTGGTAGATACACAGGCCGTCAGCTAGGATGTAGACCTACGAAAGTTAATTTTAATTAATTACTCCTTAAATTAGTGTATAGTGTATAAGAAATCTATACTTATAATAAATCTGTAGAAAGGTCAATTCTGTACATGAGATATATTTTCAAAATAACTATCAGGGGGTGATTAGTGATCAACACTGATGCCAAAAATGCAATCAGTAAAATTTTTGTCTGTCTGTCTGTATGTTCCTTATAGAAACAGAAACTACTCGACGGATTTTAACGAAACTTGGTACAATTATTCTTCATACTCCTGGGCAGGTTATAGTATACTTAGCAATTCCCACGGGAACGGGAATTAGCGGGAAAATCCTTTTGTATGAAAAATCTAAACCGCTTAAGTTAGACGCTTGAAATGCATGCAGGTACCTTAGTAAACTTAAAGCTTAGTTACAACAGGATATTGCAAAATTCCCACGGGAACGGGAGTTAGCGGGAAAAAACATTTGTATGTTAAATTTAGTGCTCCGAAACACTTGAAATGTTGACAGTGGCATACGGTGAAACTGTTCTGAGTAAAAAAAAATGTTTCAAACTCTTCCAAGATGGCCGGGAAGATGCCAATGACGAGCCTCGCTCTGGACGCCCAAGCACGTCAACAACTGATGAAAACGATCAAGCAGTGAAGAAAATTGTTTTGGAAAATCGTCGAATCACTATCAGAGAAGTTGCTGAGGATATCGGCATATCGCTTGGCTCGTGCCATGAATTTTTTTCTAACGTTTTGGAAAAACAATTCATGGCTTTTGCATCACGATAATGCCCCTGCTCACTCATCTTTGCTTGTGAGAGATTTTTTGGCTAAAAACAACACCACAATCATGCCTCAGCCACCATATTCACCGGATTTGGCCCCATGTGAATTTTTCTTGTTCCCAAAATTAAAGAGACCTATGAAAGGACGGAGATTTGCAACGATTGAGGAGATAAAGACTGCATCGCTGGAAGAGCTAAAGGCTATACCGAAAAGTGCTTATGTGAAGTGCTTTGAGTATTGGAAAAACCGTTTGCATAAGTGTATTGTATCTGAGGGGGATTACTTTGAAGGGGACAACATAAATATTGATAAATAAATAAATATTTTTTCTTAAAAATACAAAGTCACCTTACTTTTTGAACACACCTCGTACATTATCGATTGAAAACAATTGAATACTTGTTATTTGTTTTGTTATGAGCTTTTGAAGACGCATGAAGCGTAACTACGCATACGTAATTTGTCTGTAGTGTATAAGTACCTCATTGATTTCATAAATATTGTCAATTGAAATAGAGTATCTTGACGTAGTTAAGCTACCAAATAAAGTAAGCATTAAGATGCTCAGGAATTCTCGCCTCATTGCAGTATTAGTTAAGACTAATACTGCAATGAGGCGAGAATTCCTGAGAATACTATGTTAGGTATAGGTACATAGTACATATTTACCACGGTTTTTGCCGTCGCCATAGGTAGGAGGAAGCGTTTGTAGCTTATGTATAATTTGAACATTTAGCTAATGTATGCGTGTGTAATGCAAATATTGATTGACACGTGTAGTAGTGCCTCAAATCAGAAACCCAGTTTGTAAGCGTTTAAAATTTAAATTACCCTATTTTTGCTGGCTTTTAAAGCAAATAAATATTCTGAGACAACATTTTCGTTAAATTAAAGCTATTTAAAATGTTATTGCAAATTAATATCTATAAGTACCTGGGGTTTTTGCTCATAAATTAAAGCAAAGCTTGTATCTAATTTTGGATTGTAAATTAAATACTTATTTTTGGTGGAGTAGTATAGATTTAGTAAGGTAAGCCTTACTAAATCTATATGCATTGAAATCTAATTTATGGACTTGTCTATTTAACTACATTTTCACTAATAAGACTTTATAACAGATATTCAAGAGTGATCGGCTATTTAGACTACATGGGAGTGATTTTTTTATATTTCAGTAGGTACATAGATAAAATACTCGTAGATAATGTAGACATGATAAGATGGCAGTGGATGTCTTTTACGATTTTGCCAGTGTAAAATTTTACTCAAAAAAAATCCCAATCTCTTAAAATTCACTCCTACGGTAGCCAGTAAGGCCCAGAACAGACGGTGAAACGCTACTGCAACGAAACTGCAACTGCTAGTTACTTTTGAGTTGCATCTAAGTTTCTGCCACAGCGTCCGTTGAGAGACCACACATGACGCGACCAGTTTGAAACTTTCAGTTTCAGTTTCATTCATCAGAATCATCAGAAAGTTGCAGTTTCGTTGCAGTTGCGTTTCACTGTCTGTTCTTGGCCTTAGACGTTCGATTACCTGATCGAACATCGAGTAAACGGAGGCGGTGGGCTGGTGGATGGTGCACACGATCGTGCGACCGTCCCGGGCTAGGTTCTTCAACAGTTCGATGCATTGCATTGATGTGGAGCTGTCTAGACCTCTGAAACAAGAGTGGAAACTGTTTATCATCGATAGCGAATGTCGGCTGCAGAAATGATTGACTTTTCAGGAAAGCAATGATTTTGCTCAGCAAAGAAACGAAAGATTTAGAAAAAACTTAAGAGTAACTGTTAACTTAACGTATAACAACAATTTTCTATACATATTACTAACTTTTATATTAATTACTTCGATAAAAAAATGCAGATTGTTGAAATTTAATTGGGGGTTAAAAATCAATACAGTCAAAAGATTTCCCCAATTCTTTAGTTAGCTACACCCGTGCAATTTTAATCTGTCTGTCACTGATTTTGTACCACGATTTTAATCAACGTCTGATGTCGTGCCCTGTGTGCCCAAATAACTGCACGCAAGAAGATTTAAAGAATGCTACTGACAACGCCACTCTTGTAGAGGAGTTTTGGGCTGACACTGTATGGGGATACACCCTAGTTGAACTCTGGCCTAAATTATCATTTAGTTTGGAAATGTCATTTTTAAATCCAGACTTCATCCTAGGTGTAACTTTTTATTAATAAGGGGGTATAGGCATAGCTGGGCACCGTTAATCAAATAGTTAACTTCGTTAATCGTTAAACCGTTAATAAAAAAATTAACTTCGTTAAACGTTAAAACGTTACATTTCGCAAGATTTAACGCAAGTTAACGTTAATCGTTAATCCGTTAACACATGATAATAAAACGAAAAAAAAATAATTGTATGCAAGGTTCAAATAATTTCGAGAGCTTGTATCGCGCATGGAATTTATTCCTCTTTTATGTTTCCGCTACAAGCTTTCGAAATTATTTGAACCTTGCAAAAGTTTAATTATTTTTTTCGTTTTAGTACAACTGCATTTCAGAATAAAAGCTTGTTTTTAAAAAAGTTTTTTAATTATTATAATTTTATTTTACACTTTTTAGTACGAGTAGTATCTCAATCTCAGGGCCTTGGTTCAATTACTATACAATTTAGCACCAAAGTGCTCGAAAAGACAATTCCAGCAAACCCAAACTCGATAAGTTTCCACCGTTTCGTTTAAGAATTCCTATGGCCACCTCCTGACTCCATTATCAGGACCCTGGACATCATCTAGTACTAAAGTGCTCGAAAAGACAAATCAAGCGAACCCAAATTCGATGCGATGCCGCCGTTTCATTTAGGAGTTCCTATGGCCACCTCATGACTCCATCATCAGACCAGCTCAATGGTACCATAACATTGCATTGTCATCGTACTTACATAAGTATACTAAATTTCAACTCAATCGGTTGAGGAAAACTGGTCTTAAATTCAGTTGCAAGAGTTGTCCCACACATACTAACAAGTGTCGTGGTTACAAAAACTGTTGTTTTGGTTTCTGGAAGTTCTGGAGGCCCGAACGTACTTGTCAGAACGCGTTTTTCAGCGTGCCTGCTGTACCTTTTTGGTAAATAGTAGGTACTGGATTAACTATTAACGGACTTAGGATAATTTAACGGAAGTTAACGAGTCCGTTAACATTTTTTTAAGTTAACTTAAAAGTTAATCCGTTAATAGAAATGTTAACTTCGTTAATTAACGATTAACGGATTAACGAGTTAATGCCCAGCTATGGGTATAGGTTTGTTGTCGACCCGACAAGAAGAATAAACGTCTTATGATACGTATTTATCTATAGGCTCTGGTCATTGACATCTGCCGCGGACTGCATGTTAATCCAGGCTCTAAACTCTAAAGGATGACGCGAAGCGTTGTATAATGTAAAATTTACGATGCGCTAAGTACAATACTTGGCATTTTCTCTGCATATTAACGAGTCATGTCAGATTTATTGCTAGCTGGCTTACATTTATTATCAAGTACCTAGTCGCAGACATCAAGATGAAGGTACATCTTCGATCGACTGCACTTATTAGATAATGCAATAACATTAGACACAATATTTTACTTAATATTAAATCTATACCTACTATACCACAGAATAATAATACTATACTTATAATAAATCTGTAGAGAGGTCAATTCTGTACATGAAATATATTTTCAAAATAACTATCAGGGGGTGATTAGTGATCGATACTGATGCCAAAAATGCAATCAGTAAATTTTTTGTCTGTCTGTCTGTCTGTATGTTCCTTATAGAAACAAAAACTCCTCGACGGATTTTAACGAAACTTGGTACAATTATTCTTCATACTCCTGGGCAGGTTACAGTATACTTAGAAATTCCCACGGGAACGGGAATTAGCGGAAAATCCTTTTGCATGAAAAATCTAAACCGCTTAAGTTAGACGCTTGAAATTTGGCATGCAGGTACCTTAGTAAGCTTAAAGCTTAGTTACAACAGGATATTGCAAAATTCCCACGGGAACGGGAGTTAGCGGGAAAAAACATTTGTATGAAAAAATCTAAACCGCGTAAGATAGATTAAGGAAGTGTAAAACGGGATCCACGCGTACGAAGTCGCGGGCGGCCGCTAGTACTTAATATTTACGGAAATGTAGATTCAGAACTTGAAACTTATCGATTTGCAGCTCTCTTAAACAAGAGTTAGAATACTTATGAGAACCTGTTTACTTGACATTTTGTCCAGAACATGTTTTGCCAATGCAAGACGCCCCAGTTCGATGGATTGACGACTTAGTCTAGTCTAGGTTCTATCTAAGTCCTAATGGTTGACTTAGCTTATCCAAAAAAGGAGCGATCGTCTTTTTGACGCGCATTGGTTTGACTTTAAATAGGTCCAGGAAAACGATAGACAGAGAGCAATACTTTTTTTTTAATGTACAACACGCAGTATATTGTGATGATGAGTAGATAGCAGGCAGTACAGTACTGAGCGTCAAATGTGTAGTTCGTGACAGTGGTCAATGAGGATCAGTACTGTTGTAGAAAATTCAATAAAACTAGTATCTACGTTAATCTTTAAGACATAAGAAAGNAATTTCATCTAATGGTAATTGAAGATGAGGTCTTAGTTAAAAGTTGAGACCTTGTATTGTGTTGTTGTGACCTAGATATTATAAGTTAAGTAAATTAGTGACATACGACAGTTATCTTATAATGGTAGTAGTACGATACTCATACACGTTTAAATTATGATTGCCTTGGATTATAGCTGCGTTTAGCTATGGGTTGTATAGAAAAATATTTTGTGTAGTTTCGACGTCACTCCAACAATTTAATTAGGTAATTGGGATTACAACGAAACAGATTATTCTAGTAGGAAGTTGAGCAATACGTCCTTGTGCAATGACGATCACATGTCATGCGTGATTAAAACTCCTAATCAGTCGCTGATCTTTCGTAATTGAGGTCAATGTAGTATTTGTATTTGAAAAACTATTTTCATAATTATCTAATAGTGACGCGATACATTATCGATTGAAAACAATTGAATACTTGTTATTTGTTTTGTTATGAGCTTTTGAAGACGCATGAAGCGTAACTACGCATACGTAATTTGTCTGTAGTGTATAAGTACCTCATTGATTTCATAAATATTGTCAATTGAAATAGAGTATCTTGACGTAGTTAAGCTACCAAATAAAGTAAGCATTAAGATGCTCAGGAATTCTCGCCTCATTGCAGTATTAGTTAAGACTAATACTGTAATGAGGCGAGAATTCCTGAGAATACTATGTTAGGTATAGGTACATAGTACATATTTACCACGGTTTTTGCCGTCGCCATAGGTAGGAGGAAGCGTTTGTAGCTTGTGTATAATTTGAACATTTAGCTAATGTATGCGTGTGTAATGCAAATATTGATTGACACGTGTAGTAGTGCCTCAAATCAGAAACCCAGTTTGTAAGCGTTTAAAATTTAAATTACCCTATTTTTGCTGGCTTTTAAAGCAAATAAATATTCTGAGACAACATTTTCGTTTAATTAAAGCTATTTAAAATGTTATTGCAAATTAATATCTATACCTGGGGTTTTTGCTCATAAATTAAAGCAAAGCTTGTATCTAATTTTGGATTGTAAATTAAATACTTATTTTTGGTGTAGTAGTATAGATTTAGTAAGGTAAGCACCTTACTAAATCTATATGTATTGAAATCTAATTTATGGACTTGTCTATTTAACTACATTTTCACTAATATGACTTTATAGACAGATATTCAAGAGTGATCGGCTATTTAGACTACATGGGAGTGATTTTTTTATATTTCAGTAGGTACATAGATAAAATACTCGTAGATAATGTAGACATGACAAGATGGCAGTGGATGTCTTTTATGATTTTGCCAGTGTAAAATTTTACTCAAAAAAAATCCCAATCTCTTAAAACTCACTCCTACGGTAGACAGTAAGGCCCAGAACAGACGGTGAAACGCTACTGCAACGAAACTGCAACTGCTAGTTACTTTTGAGTTGCATCTAAGTTTCTGCCACAGCGTCCGTTGAGAGACCACACATGACGCGACCAGTTTGAAACTTTCAGTTTCAGTTTCATTCATCAGAATCATCAGAAAGTTGCAGTTTCGTTGCAGTTGCGTTTCACTGTCTGTTCTGGGCCTTAGACGTTCGCTTGCCTGATCGAACATCGAGTAGACAGAGGCGGTGGGCTGGTGGATGGTGCAGACGATCGTGCGACCGTCCCGGGCTAAGTTTTTCAACAGTTCGATGCATTGCATTGATGTGGAGCTGTCTAGACCTCTGAAACAAGAGTAGAAACTATTTATCATCGATAGCGAATGTCGGCTGTAGAAATGATTGACTTTTCAGGAAAGCAATGATTTTGCTCAGCAAAGAAACGAAAGATTTAGAAAAAACTTAAAAGTAACTGTTAACTTAACGTATAACAACAATTTTCTATACATATTACTAACTTTTATATTAATTACTTCGATAAAAAAATGCGGATTGTTGAAATTTAATTGGGGGTTAAAAATCAATACAGTCAAAAGATTTCCCCAATTCTTTAGTTAGCTACACCCGTGCAATTTTAATCTGTCTGTCACTGATTTTGTATCACGATTTTACTCAACGTCTGATGTCGTGCCCTGTGTGCCCAAATAACTGCACGCAAGAAGATTTAAAGAATGCTACTGACAACGCCACTCTTGTAGAGGAGTTTTGGGCTGACACTGTATGGGGATACACCCTAGTTGAACTCTGGCCTAAATTATCATTTAGTATGGAAATGTCATTTAAATCCAGACTTCATCCTAGGTGTAACTTTTTATTAATAAGGGGGTATAGGTTTGTTGTCGACCCGACAAGAAGAATAAACGTCTTATGATACGTATTTATCTATAGGCACTGGTCATTGACATCTGCCGCGGACTGCATGTTAATCCAGGCTCTAAACTCTAAAGGATGACGCGAAGCGTTGTACAATGTAAAATTTACGATGCGCTAAGTACAATACTTGGCATTTTCTCTGCTTATTAACGAGTCATGTCAGATTTATTGCTAGCTGGCTTACATTTATTATCAAGTACCTACCTAGTCGCAGACATCAAGATGTACCATAACGACTGCACTTATTAGATAATGCAATAACATTAGATATTACACAAGATATTTACTTAATATTAAATACTTAATATTTACGGAAATGTAGATTCAGAACTTGAAACTTATCGATTTGCAGCTCTTTTAAACAAGAGTTAGAATACTTATGAGAACCTGTTTACTTGACATTTTGTCCAGAATATGTTTTGCCAATGCAAGACGCCCCAGTTCGATGGATTGACGACTTATGCCCGTTTTCACTATCAATCCCTAATTTATAAGTGACGCCTTAAGTAGGCGTATGGCGTATGGTAACAAATAACAGGAATTTTGTTTCCATAGGAGTCACTTAAAAATTAGGGATTGATGATGAAAACGGGCATTAGTCTAATAAATAGTCCTAATGGTTGACTCTGCTTATCCAAAAAAGGAGCGATCGTCTTTTTGACGCGCATTGGTTTGTATTTAATTAGGTCCAGGAAAACGATAGACAGAGAGCAGAATTTTAATGTACACGTCTGATTTAATGCTTCTGACGTCTCAGCCAGGCAGTATATTGTGATGATGAGTAGATAGTAGGTACAGTCAGCGTCAAAAAGTCCGTGATACGCAAAGTGGTCAAAAAGTTGACAACACAACCTTATTTGAATTGTAACAAAAACGTGTTGAAAACTTATTGGCTATTTTGGGTCTCACGAACTATTTGACGCTGACTGTACCTATTTAAGAGCATGAGCATGCTTTAGCACGACAACTTACGTGGTGGGTTCGTCCAAGAACACGACTGGCGGATTGTCGATGAGTTCCACCGCTATGGAGAGCCTCTTGCGTTGACCTCCTGAGAGCTTTGAGCACCGCGTGTTTTCCGTGCCCTGCAGGCCTAAGGTCTCGAGAACGTCATTTATCTGCGGAAAATATATGAAATGAGTAAATTTTTGCCATGTGGTTTTGGTTAGGACTACCCCCACACTTCCCGCGGATGGATGTATTGTGAAAGGCGAATAAGGGAGAAATGTGCGAACATCAGCCTTCCCCAACACGTTTGGCCAACATTGTGGGAAGTGGAGATTAAAATGCCCTGATGATATTTTTTTATTATTGCTTGCTAATTCTTGTTGTTGCTTGTATTAGCTCATTCGCTGGTTTAACCAATTGCCATGACGTATTATCACAGCTTACCAAGTTATGTACTAACCTCGTTATGATACAATGTCAGCATAGGTAACGATTTTGCAATAATCGATAACTGCTATGTACAGTCGACAGCACATTTAACTTTATATTTTTGTAGCAAAAAAGCATTTATTAAAACTGCATAAAATCTCGCAATGTTTAGTTTATGCTGTCATCTGTACAACGCGAATACAATGGTGATTTCCCAAGAGTCTGGGAAAACTGCATTGTATTTTCTTATTCATAAAAGAAACATATTGGTAGGAATTTAATTTATGCACATTGCATCATTATAACTTTATGCATATTTTAAACATATGGTTTTTCCTACTTGGCACCCTCAGATATCTAAATAAATTATTCACATTAAGCCTGACAGGTGCTTGTCCGTATGACAAAACAATCGAAGAGCCCTGAAATAACTAATTTAAATATTGAGCTGCATTTACTAATCTCTCAACTTTCATAGTTCTGCTACAGTAAACAGTGGGTTAAGGCGGTCGTCCTGCAGGATGTAGCAGGACTTCCTGCAGTCCTAGAGCGAGCTGTAACTTACAACTTACCACAGATGTCTTGAGTTCCTCATTCAAGGTGTTCCCCAGCTTCATATCGGCTGCGCACCTCATCAGCTCTGCTACTGTGAACAGCGGGTTGAGGCGGTCGTCCTGCAGGATGTAGCAGGACTTCCTGCAGTACTAGAGCGAGCTGTAACTTACAACTTACCACAGATGTCTTGAGTTCCTCATTCAAGGTGTTCCCCAGCTTCATATCGGCTGCGCACCTCATCAGCTCTGCTACTGTGAACAGCGGGTTGAGGCGGTCGTCCTGCAGGATGTAGCAGGACTTCCTGCAGTACTAGAGCGAGCTGTAACTTACAACTTACCACAGATGTCTTGAGTTCCTCATTCAAGGTGTTCCCCAGCTTCATATCGGCTGCGCACCTCATCAGCTCTGCTACTGTGAACAGCGGGTTGAGGCGGTCGTCCTGCAGGATGTAGCAGGACTTCCTGCAGTACTAGAGCGAGCTGTAACTTACAACTTACCACAGATGTCTTGAGTTCCTCATTCAAGGTGTTCCCCAGCTTCATATCGGCTGCGCACCTCATCAGCTCTGCTACTGTGAACAGCGGGTTGAGGCGGTCGTCCTGCAGGATGTAGCAGGACTTCCTGCAGTACTAGAGCGAGCTGTAACTTACAACTTACCACAGATGTCTTGAGTTCCTCATTCAAGGTGTTCCCCAGCTTCATATCGGCTGCGAACCTCATCAGCTCTGCTACTGTGAACAGCGGATTGAGGCGGTCGTCCTGCAGGATGTAGCAGGACTTCTTGCGGTACGCCTTGAGCGAGCTAAGCGAGCGCTCTCGCTTGTCAAGCTCACAAATGCTGTCACCACCTCGGATTGTGCCAGTCACGCCATTTGTTCTGCAACAAACAATAATTTGATTGAAACTCCGTCTCTATAAGTACCTACCTATCTACTAATTTTATTCAGATAATTAAGATTTATCTTTTATGCCTAAATACATATACTGTATTGTTGTAGGTGAAATGGCGAAATAAACGAATAAATTTACAATTTAAGTACTTTTTTTCAGCATGCAAATTCTTACGTAAAGTAGGTAATGTAAATGAAATCTTGATTATGTCACAAAATTTTAAAGTCTGAAGGCGAAGGTTCGTAAGCCAAATGAAGACACAATAAATAGCGAAGAATATTTCATTTTCTTTCCTTCTCAAAGAACTGATATTTTAAATATTTTAGGGATATTTTAAACTGGAAGTAAGACTTTTGAGTACTTAATACTGCGCGTACTTAACTAAGTGATTCAGTAAGTACCTAGCCTAGCCTTTGGCTCTATAAAACTATGCATCAAGGTGGACTAGAAGCCCTTAGTAGCATTAGTCGTTATGGCCTTGTAAGTAGGTAATTCGTACTTCAATATTCTTATCTTGAAATGTTGGACAAGTATGAGGCTCTCAAGTTTTCCTTAATTTTACAAGCTTTTTATTACTTTTTGAATAATGAAGTTCGTAGTTTATTTACTGATTTACTTAATCATTCTTTCATAGTTGCGTTAGGCTAAAGGGAGGAAAAGAACGGACTTATGCTGTAATGAAATCAAATACATAGCCTAAACGACAAATTACGCTGGCAAATTACATCATTTTTCAAGAAAATAGTTTCAAGAAATTGTTGGTAGCTAATATAACTCTTATTGTATTAATATTGATTTGCATACAATTAACCCCTGCTGTCGAATTTGTACTCATAGGTTTTTTTGACTGACACAGTCTATTGCGCGTCTTACGACAAAAACAAAAATTCAAATTATTTTACTGCTTTATAGTACCTACCTATTATTTAGCAAATTCTTTATGTTTTTTTTTTAAACATTATACACATAACCCATCTTTACGGATGTGGAATTTCATCTTGTTTTTTTGAAGTAAAAGTTCTACTTACTTACTCTTCACCAAAATTCAGCAATATTTGTTTTGAGACAGACAAAATTCCACGCGGGCGAAGCCGCGGGCGGAAAGCTAGTTATAATATAAATTATTGATAGGTACATACGAGAATCCTGTAAGGGCGTTCATAAGGGAAGACTTGCCGGCGCCCGAGGGACCCATGATGGCCGTCAGCTCTCCGGACCTGAACAACCCGGATACGCCTTTCAGGATTGTTTTTTCTGTAAACAATAAAAACAATTTTGTAAGTTACTCGAGATCTCTTTACTTAAACAAACGTCAAACTCTTCATAACTCCACTCCATACAAAAACACCGGTTTTGGTTATATTCACGGTTAAAATAAGGTGGTGTAACTCAGCCTTAATCATTTTAAATTGTGGTTTAGTAAATTTACAAATTTTCGTTGCATTGAAATGAGTTTCATTTGTGCATTAATTATGTTTTACACTCAAGACAAAACTGTAACCGGGGATTTTTTATTTAATTATTTACTTGGCACATTGTCATGGTAAATAGGTACATGTATTAACTTAAGTATCAAAAGTTTGTAACATTAATTTATCAATTGCAAAAAGTTTTGATACATTACCTACCTATATTATTATTCATCGAGCAAGGTCAGGTGCTTGTCATGTAGGGTTTCTGCTCGAGCTTTCTCGAACTCGAGAAAACTCGAGAAATTTGGCTTCATTCGAGACGAGAAAAAAATTACCGAAGCTCGAGAATTCTCGAGTTTCGAATTTGAAGCTTTAATGTTCACCTACGAGTATGCTATATTTCATTATGTTTGTATAACTGACTGATTTAAAGACTGATTTTTTTTTGTTAACTATCTGTTAGTTTAGGTACTCTTAAATACGTTTATTCAATTCGTTATCTTTAAGTTTAAAAATTAATTAAAAGTTTTTTTTGGTTTGTAAATGTAGGTTTATTATCGTAATTTTTAATTAATTTGGACTTGTGTTCTTTGGAAAACAAGTGATTCAATTGGAACTCCAGATATTTATGGTTATTAATCCTTAAAGTACACGCGACTTAATGACTTTAGTTCCTTTAGTTAATTACTTAGTTATAATTATTATCCTACTAATATTATAAATGCGAAAGTTTGTGTGGATGTCTGGATGTTTGTTACTCTTTCACGCAAAAACTACTGAACGGATTTTGTTGAAACTTTACAGTATTATTGATTATAACCCAGACACATTATAACATTAATAAAAACCCGTGTTTTTATTAAACTTCAATCGATTTCAACAGTTTTAATTAAAAGACTCGAGACCCGAGAAAACTCGAGACTTTGGCCTCGAGAATTCCCGAAACTCGAGAAAAAAAATAAGTCGAGAAATCAGAAACCCTATTGTCATGTCATGCCCGGAATTAGTTTTTTGTAGACACCCGACAGAAAATCATTATGACATTAAAATCATTTTTAATAATTCTTCAAAACATAATTAACTTTATTAATCACCAGCAAATACCACCTTCAGAAAAATAAAGGGATATTATGGCCAGGTCTTGGATATGTCAAAAAAGGTTACACAATTTTACTCAGAAAGAATCTTGAGTGACCCTGGCTGAAAAATTAAAAACTATTAGATTTATAAAACAATGGATCTGGATGAATGATGGAGGGGTGATTGACTGTTTGTACTCCAAATTGTTTGTGGCGTGAAGTCATCGTTCAAAAATGGCGCGAAATATTTGTTGCGCATCTTTAGGGCCCTGTACCTGTAACTTCTTTTGTATAGATATTTTCATGATTCTTTCACCGATATTATTGATTTTACATTTTCAAGTTTTATTAATAGAAAAAAAAAATGGAAACTTCTCCATTCTAGTATAGTAGTTACAGCCACTGCGCATCATACAATACTTCGTCACTGTCAATCGTAAGTAGATACTACGAGCACGAAGTAAATACATACGAGTAGGTACATTATTATACTGCCTACATACTCGTATTTGCACATCATGCCCTACTTGATTCGTTAGAGTGATAAGCATGTTTGTGACCTGTCGTGGGTTTACCTACTCTCAATATAATAAGCAGATCCTTGTCGATGGTACTTTTGCAGGAAAATGAGAATAACTGCCAACATTCTGCTGGTGATGCTTACAAATCGTGTATAAACACCACATAGGTTTAAGTTATCGTTTAAGCATTTCGCGTTCATGGTTCAGAGATCTTTGACTGAGAAGTTCAGGATTTGATTCTCGTCTCATTAGAAGTCTTCCGCCCTTATTCACTAACGATGCTTGCTCAAGTGAAGCAGCAAATCGAACGCATAGCGTTGAATAGAGCTAGCTTTGTGATTGGTTCGTGTGTCACCCTGTGTGTCCACGCGTACTGTGAGTCTGTTAGACATCCTAGTAATGTTTGTAAATACGGGCGTAATTCTTCTTTGCCCTAGCCTTTTCCCTAAGTACACACACAGTGCTAAGGCCTCACATAATCTCATTAGACAGAGTATTTCAAGTAATTAGCATAACATAATTATATTAGCTCCCAAGGTTAGTGCTTGGATATACAGGATGTATCAAAAGGAGCGTGCCAAACATGAGATGATAGACTATAATGGATGNAAATGCCTATTTTGCAATGTCTATTCTATTAGATTTATATGAAAAAATCAGTAACCCAGTGTCGTGGCACGCGCAGTGCAGGGTTCCGTTCCGTAGCTTTCCGTCGTTTAGTAAGACAAGCAATTGCTTCAACCTAGGACCAGTTTTTTGATTCATAGTTAAAATAACTAATTGTTAAATTTTGCTACTGGTTAATGGTTAAATATTAATAAAATGTAAACTAATAGTTTAAAAATGTACTAAAAGTCAAGTTAAACATTGTTATAAAAACATTTTTTTCTGTTTAACATTTAACCACTTATCATTTGACATCTGTCAAATTTGACTATTGGTTACTTTAACTACGAATACATAATATTTTCATACGTTTGTAATGTCATTTTTTAGGGTTCCGTAGTCCTGACAAGGAACCCTTATATAGTTTCGATATGTCTGTCTGTCCGAGGTTTCGCTTGGAAACTATTGGCACTGGGGAGCTGTAATTTTGTGAAGTATTAATATACTTCACATTTTTATTTTACCGTTTTGTCGGTGTGATTACTATCACACCGACAAAACGGTAAAATAAAATTTTGAAAAATAATTTTTTTCTAGTTTAGTTCACCTGCATGTAAAGCGGGGATGAATTTTTTCAAGGAAAACTATAACGGTTAAGATACATTACTTAGTTTAAGAGTAATAGTCATTTGACTCATGTAGGTATTATAAAATTTCTTAACCAGTAAAAAAAATTCCTTAGAAGAAAATATGCAAAGTAACTTTAGATGAAGTAATTGCTTGCTTCTGAAATATATTGTGGTAACGACAGACAACTACGGAACCCTACACTGCGCGTGGCACGACACGCACTTGGCCAATTTTTTACGCAATAGCGATGCCGATGACGTTTTTTTTAATTTCGAATTGTCTTAATTTCGACATTTATTCTGCATCTTTAGTGTTCACAAATGCAGATGGAGGCATTTTTAATTTAATTTGATTAGACGGTTTAGAATTAATTGTCATTATCATCAGAAATTTGACATGTAATGAACATTATGAATAAATTTCTTATTCTTATTCTTAAAAAAACTTTTTTTTTTAATTCAATAACCCAGTTTTCTGGTAATTTTACTCTATTTCTTGCGGGAAAAATTACGTGATATTTTCCGAGACCCCCCCTTTCCCCCACGTGAGATTTAGTGAGGTTTTTGTTGACCCCCTCCCCCCCCCTAAAAGTCTCACGTAATTTATGGACGCCCCCTAATGGATGACTAGATAGAGATAGGATAGCATCAAGAGACATGGCAACGAAAGGTAGACTCAAAATTGGGGATTAAAAAATAATGAAAAAATTAAATCTCTGAAATGATGACTTTTGCTAGAGGTTTTTTTGTGTAGATGGTCTATCATCTCCTTAATTTTGGCACCTAACAACCTCTAAGTAAACACATCTAATAAACTTAATTGATGAATATTTATTTGCAAGATAAGAAATACTTAGAGAGGCGGCAAAGTAAATATTTGTAGACTTCCTGCAATCGTATTTTGAATTTGACGCGGAAGAAAAAATAACCGGTCTCGCGCCATAGACGGAAGATTGAACTTGCGGACTTTTGAAGTTACAAAAGGAACAAAAAATAACGTTGGATACTTTTTAATGTACACCCATACCTACACTATAAAAACTGATATTCAACAAGAAACAAAATAAGTTCGAAAAGTATTAATTAGATGGTTTTTGTCGTTAGGAAACGACCTCTTCAGAAGATTGGGAAAGAGGAGTGCTTTTTACAAGCTTTTTTATTAAACTTTTTTTTTCAGTTCATAAGTTATATTCTGCATAATTTTGTACGGTTTTTTTTTATCCACAACGAGGAAGCTCTTGGCCTGTATCTCACCTGATGGTAAGTGATGATCAGGCCGAAGGTGGAAGCGAGCTTCACCCGGAATCCTCAACCACGGAGGAACTGGCTGTCTTTCCCTAACTGCCGGAACACAACAATGCTGTTAACATTGTTGTTTTTAATGTTAAATTAATATTCTTTCAAAAATGTATAATTAAGTACTTATTCAAACTGTTTTCACATTTAGTACAGTCAGCGCGGCAGCGGCAAATAGTTCGTGACATTCAAAGTGGCCAAAAAGTTGACAACACAATCTTATTCCAATGAGGGCTATCGTTTTTTTACCTAACAGTTGGCACCCCTGGCGATTGACAGGACCTTACTCTACAGTGGCGCCATCTTGATGAGTGCAAATGCGATAGTCCTCCTACCACTTTCGCGCTCACCAGCTGGCGCCACTGTCTTCGCTACTGGCAAGTGACAGGACCTTACTCTACAGTGGCGCCAACTGGTGAGCGCTAAAACGATAGCCCTCTTTGTAACAAAGACGTGTTGGAAACTTTTTGTCTTCTTTGGGTATCACGAAGTCTTGGTAATTTCTTTTTAAGTTTTCCTGGAACGCTGTAATTTTTTCAGCCAACAATGTAGGTATTCGTAATAAATAAAGACTTATTTCAAGCTGTACTATAAAATGGTGTTCGTTCTATCTGTATGACCTTTAAAGGTTATTGCAATCTAAAAGTAATCTACATTAAAGGTCAATCAGTAACAAAAGTTGGCCTTCAGCAAAAATGCTGAACAAAATTT